GTGGATCTATTAATAGACAAAATGCTCTAAAACTTTAGTAGTATAAAACCAATTACCAGGCAATAACTTTTGTTATCTTCTTAATAATTCATTTTATTTTAGAGGAGAGGGGCCACTGAAAACTTCCCAGGATTTAATTCATCAACTAGAGGTATGTTTTGTTTCCATTTTATACTACTACTTTAATTCTGGGCTAAAAATCATTACATTGTATGTGTATTTTATGGAGAATGATAGAAAAGTAGAAAGGTGGAGGGCTTACAGTAAGATTTTGTGGAGCTTTCTTGGTTATTTCATTGGAAAGAAACTTAAATATTATAGGAATAAAGTAGAATGGGCTTTGTTGATAGTCAATAGAGGCAATAATAAGTTTTAGGTTTTCCCAAGTAAATGAAAATGTCCTGTAAGCAGATGCAAATCCCTTATACTTTTCAGAGTTCTAGAAAGACTTTTTGGCATCTTCATTATTGAATTGGAGAATGATACTGATTAAATGAGATAATACATGAAAAAGCATCTGTCAGAGGCTTGAGACCAATGGAGGGGACTCAGTATGTGCTGGTTTCTTTATTTCCTTCCATATTCGTCATGACTTAGGGTATTTAGGGAGAGACAGATATGCTAACACCCACCTTTGTGCCCTGTGTGTCGTGAGACTCCACGCAGGCCCATCTGTAATTCTACCTCTAGTTAGAGGCTTCAGATTGGCAAGTGGGTTGCAGAATTCCTTTCCTATTTTCCTTGATCCTCATGGTAGCCTGTTTGCCTCTCTAGAACCAAGAGCATTTGAAATTTGAACTTCCTGTCACTTTATCACTCTCATAGTTTCCTTTGGCATTCCCATGCACTTCCACTTGAACCTCTTCAGGAAAGGGGTTTTAGCTTAAGGGGAAGATTGTCAACATAGAAGAATTATAGAAAATATGTCTTCTGCATTTTTCTGTAAAGTGGACTTAATAGTTCACCACTAATAGTGAACTATTTCCCTTAAAATAGTTGGAAGAGATTCTGGCTTTATTCTTTTCAGTTTGGCCCCAGCTTATTCACTAAACCAATGTCTGCTGAACTGTCTCCAAACTGTGATGAACATAAAATGGCATACTTCATGCAGCAAATATTTATTAAGCTTGCACTATATGTCAGATCTTGGGGCAGAGAGCTCTTTGGAGAAAAGTGAACAAAGAAAAGGTCCTGCCCCCTTATAGTTTGTGTTCTAATGGCAGAATATATATAGACAATTAATAGTAATATATGTATGTGTATTTCTATAAGTACTTAGAGATAAAATCATGTAGTATAAGAATTTAGAGGTGATAGAGAGTTGGTCAGAAGAGACTTTTCTAAGTAGGTAACATTTGAGTAGAGACGTGAAGTGAAGGAGTGAGTTGGACAGATAAGTGGGAATAGAGGATTTTAGATAAAATAAGTGCCAAAGGCACTGAGGTGCAGGGGTAGGGCTGGGTGTATCTGAAGAAGAGTAAGGAGGAAATGGTAGGTGGAGTACAGTGAGGCAGAAGGAGTGCTAAAACTTGACACATCTATAGGCCATGGGAAGAATGTTGACTTTTTTAAAAGCATGATAAGCCCATTGAGGGTTTTTGCCTCAATCTGACTCATGTTTTAAAAAGTTTTTGGCTTGACCAGCAAGGTAAATGGTAGTGCCATTTAAATACCATATTTAGAGGGTAGAAATCAAGCATTTTGTTTTGCTCATGTTAAGTACAAAAATCAAGGATATACAGTCAGCCCTCCCTATCTGTGGGTTTCTGCATCTTGAATCTTCCGCATTCCATAGATTCAATCAACTGTGGATCGAAAAATACAATAAAACATAGTGATACAACAATAAAAAATAACAAATTTCTGGCCAGGCTCAGTGGCTCATGTCTGTAATCCTAGCACACTGTGAGGCCAGGCAGGAGGATTGCTTGAGGCCAGTAGTTCAAGACTAGCCTGAGCAAGAATGACACTCTATCTCTACAAAAAATTAGAAAAATGAGCCAGGTGTGTTGGTGTGCACCTGTAGTCCTTTTATCTTGCTTAGATAGAAGCAGGAAAGTTCTAAACCTTTTGACCTCATGCTCCAAGATTCATCATTCTTTCGTAACTGGGGATAAGATGAGCTTTGAATCCCTCCAGAAATCCAGATACTTGTGTAGCTGAGTATCATGGGTCTATGTGACCCTCCAGAATAACTAGAAGTCTCCACAAGTTGATTCTATATCTGGTCTGTGAAAACTTTTGAAAACAATTAAACCCTTATGTCTTCCTGGATACAACAAAAACTTCAGGAGTTCCACAACAGATATTTTATGTCTAGGTTTTAGTTTTTAAATTCTATATAATAATTATTAATGAGTATATTTCTTACCAACTATTCATAAGACATCAATCTAAAATGGTGATGCTTTCCCTTCCCACCAGGTTTTTGCTGCAGAGGGTTTAAAGCTTACTTCAAGTGTACAAGCTTTTTCAAAACAGGTAACACGTTTCTACCTGCCTGGTGCTGGTGGTGATGTCACGTATACCCACTTTGGTATTAAGGTATAAAGGTATTTAAGTTGTAAAAGATGGAATTTTGTTGGGATTGTTTTAATTTTCTAAATTACATTTCAGCTGAAAGATGATGATAAGCTTATTCTTCTCCTGGAAATAAACAAGCTAATCCCTCTATGCCACCAGCTCCAGACAATAACTAAGACATCTTTGCAGAATAAAGTATTTCTAAAGGTAAAGGAGAGGGAGGGTCATTCAGATAAATACTTGAGAAACTTTCACACTTTTATCAGATTAGCTCCAGCCTCTTTTTCTTTAACTGAAGTATTACCCATAGAAGGGCAACATATTTTCATTTTTCATGGATTGTCTCCAAGAATCATTAAATTTTAAAAAAGTTTTAACAAATTCTTGTCCAAAAGAATCATTTATTATCTGCTATTATAAATGACCCCAGGGAGCAGCAGGTTCACCAAATAGATTAGCTTTTTGGACATGATTAATTCCATAGCACTGAGAAGCTACACTTAAAACCTGAGTCTTCACCTAACTAGGGCACAAATGCCTCTGAATCTGGGTTCCCATAATTTGTCTGAGGGAATAATAGCCTTATACCCATAAAACAGAGTGTAAGGAATTGCAAAGTAAGGGATTCACTGCCACTATTTGGAGTGCTTTGAAAAGCCCTCAGACAGCCTGAAATAGAACAGTTGATTTTCCACCTAATTCTTCCTGGAGTTTTGTGAAACAGACATGAGACCTAGGCAGTAACCCCGCACCTGTGTTCTGGGCCCTCAAGGCAGCACATGTACCCTAATCTACGTACCTTTCAGGATCCCTTAGATTTCCATGGTGGAGAAATTTTATAATTTTAAAACTAACTAAATGATAAAGTGTTTTTTTCCTAAATACTACTTTTAGAATATGATTTGCATGCTCTCTCACTGTAGGTTGACAAGTGTATTATAAAGACAAGATCCATGACGGCTCTCTTGGTCCAACTTCTTTCGCTTTGCTATAAACTGTTAAAGAAGGTGAGGTAGTTTTTCTATTTTAAACTCACTTTTTTATTAAAGGAAAATGCAAAAGAAAATAATAGTTACTTGATTTTGCAACTTTTTTCCAGAGTAAAGCAGAAACTAATTGTCTTAACTCTTTCCAGCTTCCTGTGGAAAATAACAGATGGGTCTCAGTTACAAATAAAGACACCATAGACGGTAAAACTTGAGAAGATTTTGGGGTCAGATCTCTGGATCATCATGTAGCAAAGCTGACATTTTTAAAAAGCTAATTGATCCTTTATCTTTTTAGAAATTCAACAATTTTATAAAGAAAACAATACCGAAATTTTGCTTTATTTTCTGATCATGAAACCTTTTGTGAAGCTTTTTGACACTAATAAATGCCATAATAGTTGCTAACTGCAGTGATTTTAAAATGGAATATTGCACTAATAATAGTCTTTAAAAGTCAAACCAAATATTCCAACTGTCTTAATGACAGTTTAATCCAAAGAAGATATTTTGAATATGTGCTCATCTTTGACATATTTGACCTTAACTCTTTTCTTTATTTAAGCCTATCATCTAGAACACTAATTTCAGCAGAAAATGTACAGAAGTCTGGGTGAACTCCTTAAACCTGTGGATTCTTCTTCAATCTTTCTATTCACTAAGTATGACAAGGGCACCTCTGATGATGCCCCCTCTGTCACAGATCATCCATGCTAGTAGCAACTTTGTTCTCTAATAAGCATTTCACGCAGCAAGGGTTATCAGTTGTGTTGTGTGTGTTCCCCCCTACTCCCAACAGCAGAGTAATGGAGCTCCACAGAATCTTGGAACAACTCCTGGAGGATATGAGATGGCTATCTTTTGGTTCTAGTTCTATTATAGCTGGCCAGTCTGCCCTGAATATTAGCTGGAATTGTAAGCCTATCTTACTGGCTTAAAAAATTTTGAACTATCCTTCTCAGTATTGATTGATGGAATGGAAGATCAAAAAGAGAACGATGGAATGAACCAAGAGCTGTTTAAATTCTGAATAATCATCCATTTTATATGTGTGGCTTTGAAATGTTCATTATAAAACAAATAAACAGTTTTAGTCTTTTTAGTTTTAGGCTTAAAGCTTTTCTTGTTTTTGTGGGTTGGGGTTTTGATCAAAGGATCTGGTTTATAGGTTTTCTCCTTATGATAGAGTGTAAAGTTGTTCTGGACTACTTTCATAGTGTTTGTATTCTAATGCTTTGACACTCATTTTGAAATCTGACAGGACATGTCAGTTGCCAAATGGCAGTAGATATGTAAGCTTATCTGATGATCTTTATCTGGGTCAGCCAATCACAATCAACATTCACAAAAGATCTTGAAGAACCACAATACTACCAATTAGTTAGTCAATCTATTATTGAAGAAAACTTTTACCATAGTCCTCAGGGAGAAAACGGGATGCACTCAGCTTGGTTAATGACCCTCATAAAATACTTCTTTGAACAGTCAAAATGATGAAGCATGGTTTTTATTCTCTGAAACCAAAATACTCTTTTAAATTACAATAGAAATGGCAATCCCTGCATGGTATGAATTATTAAAAAAAAAATTACAATAGAGATGGGAGAATGATGTGTGAGGTAATATATGTAAAATATCCATATCTTTATAAAGTCTTCAAGAATCATTATCCTACTTGAAGTGGGGCTAGGGGTTTGTGCTTAATATTTTCAGCTCATAGCACCATCACTGGAGGTGTTTATAGACTTACTACCTGTGTCCCGTTTGGTGGGTCTATTTAGAGGATAGTTATGTTGGCACTCAGGTTACAAGGTGTTTTTCTTGTGAACCAAAAATGATTTTTATTTACTAAACTCCCTCTTATATACCTGAAAAGAGAATATTCTTTTATGAAAGTGCAAACTTATGACTTTAACAGCACAGACTAGAGAACCAAAGGGATTTATACATCAAATGATTTCTTCTGTATAAAAATGTGTTCTGTTTAAAAACAGGGATATTTAAATGTATTATGTGTTATAGCCCTTAATGAAAAACAAGTTTTACAATCCTTTTATTTAAAATTCAGTGTAAATAGGTATGCAATCTTAAACCATAGATTCATAGTTGTTGCTTTTTTTTTTTTTTTTTTTTAGTTTAAATGTGAAAGCATTTGTTCTGTTCAAAGGCATCTGTGCCTTTGAATGACATATTCTTAGCAACTTCTTTGCTGGTTACCTTGTAACTAGAGTGTATGAAACTGAGTGACTACAATGTATGTACTGCAACAATCAGCTTACCATTGCATTTATAATACTTTCATTTGCTAGGAAAGCCTTTGTATTTTTCAAAGCCTTTTCATGTGTCCCTCATTTAAGAAGTAAGTGAAGTGTTACAGTTCCACTTTGTTTCAGATAGGAAGGCCATTCCATAGGCATGAAGAGGGAGGGTACACTTTACATTCTTGCCTCTTCCCTACAACCTAAATGGAGAGAAGTTAAGGTAGAAGGGGCAGAACTAGACTTTTTGGTAGTGTCACACTGACAGAGATTGGGAAAGAAAGGCCAGTTAGGTTTTTTTCAACTTTCAACTGATAAAAATTGAGGCAAAACAATTACCATATCACAACAAACAAAAGTATATGAAAATGTAGTATAGTCATACACGGGATAAATCAGTTCCAGGGCCTTCTGTGTATACCCATATCAATGCTTATTCAAGTCCTGTAGTCAGCCCTGTGGAATCTGAGCATAGGAAAAGTTGGCCTGTTCTTTATGTAGGTTTCACATCCTATGAATACTATATATTTTTAATCTGCATTGGATTAAAAAAAATCCCCATATAGGTGGACCCATTTAGTTCAAACCCCTGTTGCTCAAGGGTCAACTGTATTTACTTCCACGTCATAAGATGATGGATCAATTACTTTTACTTGGCTACTTGAAACCTTTCTGTATTTCCTAAATTTTCCTCAAAGAGCTTTGTTTGCATTTGATCAGAAAAACATCCCATGCTTGGCAGTTGTTAGAAGCAAGAAAAGCACAGAGTATGTACATGGACAGGGTAGATCTGAGAGGCTGAAGACAAATGAGAATCAAGGCTCAGTAAGCAAGACAAAGAGGGAAAACCAGGTTAAGTGAAGGATTAGGCCTCCCCTGTGGGTAGCTGGGTGTGAAGTATGCTCTATATACACTGGGACTTCTCATTTAGTGCACTGATGGTTTGGGCCAGGTAAGGATAAGAATCCCGCTTTGCTTTTTACTCCATCTCAATCCTCATGATGTAGCTGTAGTGGCATTAATACATTTCACTACGATTTCTTCGTACTGTTTTTGTGTCAGTAACCCTTCTGTTATGCTTTTACTTTCTTCAAATTTGGGTAACACAACTGCAATGTAGCCTTCAGTGGATGGCTGGAAAGGAAACAATATTAATATTGTCAAATGATAAAAAAAAAATTCCATAAAAGGTATGTGGATGGGATCATATTTTTTCTTTTTTACCTTTTCTTGAAGAATAGATGGCTTGTGGAGAATGTTCTCATTCACTTCCATCAGCCGTCCTCTAACACAACTATTTAAAAAAAGATTTATTTTTAAGAAAAATATAACTTCCCTTGTTTCTCCTAAATTGGTAGCTAAAAAGTTACTCACCTAGATATGGTATATTCTTCTCCATCTGAGCAGTAAATCTTACAGAGAGGTGCAAGTTCTGTTAGAAACTGTGCCCCCTGTGTAATGAAAAGGAAGAAGTTACTAATTGATGTACATTTCCACTTTCCTTTGAGAGGCAGCCCCTCAATGTTTTAATAGGATATATTCCCAGAACTGGTGTTTTAAATAAAAATGACATAAGTAAATGAAAGCCATTCATTCTAAAACATACATAATAAATGCATAATAAGTGCCTACTATGTGCCAGGTACCATCATAGACTCTGGGGGGAAAAACCTAAGACATGTGTGATAATAGGTAATTTAGTTACAGACTACTTATTTATATTAAATATGTATATATTTTTAAGCAAGGCCCATCACTTCAGAACAGATTAATAATATATTTTATCAATTGTAAATAAGAAAGCTACATATAGCGAAGTGTAAAGACTTCAAAAATATAGGAAAATTCATCAACAAGCAATAATATAAATTCAACATGACTATGACAGAAATATTTTTTGTTTTTTTTTTTCACTCACTGACCCATTCTCCTATGACAGAAATATTGTACAAAGCCAGTTTCGTTAACATTCTTATGTTATTTTTATATTAGAACTTAATAAAGGAACTCCTTTACCAGGGTCAATCACTAAGACTTTTTGAAGAAGAAATATTTTCCTAATTAAGAAAAAATATATTATACTTTGAGGAAAATTTGGAAAATACAATAAAGTTTTAAGTCACAAAATAAAAATAATTTGCCCATTATCCTATAAGCCATTAGTCCATACTACATTTTGACATATATCTGTTTGAATGTTAGTTATTGCTTCAAGTACTCCACTAGGTGGATGTACCTAGAAAGGTTCTGACAAATATCTACAAGGAGACTCATGAGAACCAATGCAGAGATGTCACATGTGTTGCCCCCCCCTCCTTTTTTTTTTTTTTGAAACAGGGTCTTCCTTTGTTACTGGGGCTAAAGTGCAGTGGTGTCATCATAGCTCACTGCAACCTCAAATTCCTGGGCTCAAGTGATCCTCCTCCCTCTGCCTTCCGAGTAGCTGGGAGTAACAGGCACATGCCACCATGCCTGGCTAATTCTTCTAGTTTTTGTAGAGATAGGATCTCACTATGTTGCTCATGCTGATGTGTTGCCCTCTTTTTTTCTAGGAATTTTTCCTGTAATGAATAAGTATTTGAGGTTAAGATGCTATTATTTATGACCTCTTAATTTACCACTCAAAACATTATTAGATGACATTTAGATATTATTACATTGGCTTCACTACTCTGTATGTGGGTGCTTCATTTCAAAATACCAGAGTCATTGTGACTCCTCACTTTTGGAAAGAGAGAGAGGGATTCATCCCCGAGGCTTATTTATAACTGGGTCTGTGTCAAAGGAGCAGAAATGTTTCCACCACTTTTTATCACCTCCCTTGGGAGAATAAATAATGGGCAGTTCTGGGATCTAATCAAAACTTAACCTATAGTGGGTTCAATATGCAGGTCCCTCTCTGTTCTTCATTAGTAACAATAGTGTTACTATTTTGGACAGAGATTTATCATAGGAATCTCACAAACATTAATTGTTGCAATTTGTAGACTTTATCTTTTAAGAAAACTGCATGCTTTTCTAAGCTCATTTGCTTCTTGAGTAAGGAAAAATCAATAATCAAAAATAATAATAAGTAATCAAAAGTCAATAACTATAAGGCATGTTATTAGGAGACTTCAGGCCTACAAAAGGGAAGTTCAAATAAGGGTCTCCTATAACAGTGAGAGCAATTAGCAGTACCTCTTAACTTAGTATGAACTCAACAAATAAAGGACCTAAATCATCCATAGAAAATTTCCTAACCAGTGGGGTTGCAGGACACTTTAATATGTCACTAAATTGTCCTGGGTGTGATGCTGTCTTTTAATAAAATGTCAATCTTACCTGAAGTTATACAGGGAGGGCAGAGATAACATTTTGTATAACTGAGCATTATGTGGAGGTACAGGGTGTGGGTAGGTATACATTAAATTGGTAATGCTTTATGAATGGAAAAATGGTAAGGAGCAAATACTATATACTTTCTCATACTGGTGTTTTTTCCTACCCTCTCAGGATATTTTTTTTCTGTTTAATTTGTATGTGAAGCTGGGCATGGTGGTGCATGCCTGGAGTCCTAACTACCTGGAGGCTGAGACAGGAGGATCACTGGAGCCCAGGAGTTCAAGGCTGCAGTGAGCTATGATTGTGCCACTATACTCTAGGCTGGGGTGACAGAGCAAGACCCTGTCTCTCAAAAAAAAAAAAAAAAAAAAGAAAAGAAAGAAATTTATATGTGAAAATATATGGTAAAGAAAAGTTGTTCACTTAAATTTTATAGAACTTGAGATATTGGTTCCATAAAAGTAGATGGAACAACATATGTTGTTTTGTTGGTGTTACAGTTGTCCTTTCAAAGGCCTGCCTTCCCCCTTCTCCACCCTAGGCATAACAGGGATGGTAGTACAGAACCTAATATAGCAAATACTGTGCCTATTTTAAAGATATACCTTGTTTCTTTGGTCTGAGAATTTTTTTTAGGGATAAACTATACTTAAAATCAGTACCTCAAACTCTTAGAGAAGTATGTTGAACATATATTACCAGATTCTGAGAATGACAGTAATTCTACCATTACTATGAATATAGAGGATGTCAGTAGACAATCACATAATTACAGGAACATACCCGCTTAAATTTCCCAGAGACCTTGTTCTGAAGTCTGCTACAGTTGGTACTGATCTGATAGGAAATGCTTTTAATTGTTTTTCCACTTTGAAGAACTGGATGAGATCCTGCCAATGTGATGACACATATTCTACAAGGAGAAAAAAATTGATCCTGTGTTATTGCTTGATATAATTCTTCCCCCTATAACACAGTACTTCTATTGGCACAAGAATGTATGCACTGATATTTGTTTAAACTATCATCTTCCCCTTTTCCCTTTGGCTTCTATTGGTGCATAACTGTAGAATGGAGAATGCAATAATAAAATAGGAGAAAACAGTACCAAATTTCCTTCCCAGGAAAGGGATGAGTACCAGAGGTCTTCAGATAGGTAGCATTTGGAGTAGAAGAGAGAGAAGTAAGGCATGCCTGTGTATATCCCTGTGTGGGCTCTGGCAGTCAGTGGGTAGGCACAGATTGCCTACTTCAGGTAGTAGTTGACTAATGGAGTGGTCCTCCATTTGGAATTTTGGGTAACGAAGTTTGTTTGTTCAGAGTTACTAGGCACTGGAAGACTCATTCTTGCCAACCAAACTCTTATAATAATATCATTTCAGGCTGGGTGCCATGGCTCACATCTGTAATCCCAGTAGTTTGGGAGGCTAAGGCAGGAGGATCGCTTGAGGCCAGGAGTTCAAGATCAGCCTGGGTGACATAGCAAGACCCTGTCTCTACAAAAAATAGAAAACTGAGCCAGGCATGATAGAGTGCACCTATAGTCCCAGCTACACAGGAGGCTCAGGCAGGAAGATCACTGGAGCCCAGGAGTTTGAGGTTGCAGTGAACTATGATGATGCCATGGCACTCTAGGTAGGCTGAGGGAGCGAGACTCCGTCTCAAAAAAAAAATAAAAAAACCACACAAACAAACAAAAACACACACACAAAAATTTCAACACAGTGTAAGATAATTTAATGAAATGCTCACTTAACGAACATTTGTTCAATCCAAGACCATACTAGGCTGAACTAAAATATCACAAAGGAAAAAAATTTTTTTTGAAAATTTAAAATACCCAATTTACTTACCGGTTGGAGTGCTGTAGTATACAGTGGTCCTCACAGGGTTTTCCTTTGACATCTAGAAGAATAAATGAGTCTGTTGGTTGTTGAATCAATATTTACTACCACTATGTGGTACATTCCTTGGTTCAGAGACAGTTAATTATGAACACTGGATACTTACACACTCATCACTAGTATACCTTCATTACTCAAAAAGACACACCTAAAGACGTAACTAAATGCCTATACCTTCATTACTCAAAAAGACATACCTAAATATTTTTTACAAAGTATTTACAGAGACCTGGCCCAGACAGAATCATTTATTCAATGCTAAGTCATTAACTCCTTGCTCCATCTTTATCCTCACTGCAAAATGAGTACACCCATTATTTCATTATTAATAGAAAAATGTGATTAACACTGCATTCTTTATGATATAGTAGTATACTTTTTGTTGGTGGTTTCCAGGACTGATGGTTAGCAGGGAAAGTCCTGAATTCCAGGAAACCCCTCAGTCCTGGGTGAACCAGGACAGTTGGTTACCCTAAATTTGGACAACGGAAAATATGCTACAGTATTTTTTTAAATGAGTATGCCCATTATCACTGAATGAAAGGAAGAAAGTGGGGTTGGAGGACAGACCCCCCCCCCCATGATGCTACCGCCACTGGTATTTACTGGATCCGCAAAACAGTGCATCAGGAATACCTACTTCTAAGTGGTAAATAAATACTGGCGGCTTCTCCTTAAGTAAAACAGTGGATTCTGCTTTCTGTCTGTAACCTAACCCGCCCTTTTCTCCATCATTGCTGCCTCTATCTTAGTTTCAATCTGATCATTTAATAATTTTATGTATCGCTACTCCCTGTAGGATTGGGTCCCTCAAATTCTTCCAAGCACTCGAGGGCTGCTGTAGTACAGACCCCCGCCTACCTCGGGGCCTCAGTTTAGACTAACGTTCTCGGGAACACGACACACTCGAGCTCGCACAGCACTCGCCAGCCCCTAAACGCGCCCTGCTGTATTTCAGGCCTCCAAGACTTTGCAAATACTACTCCTCCCTCGGCCTAGAAGGGAACACAGAGGTCCAGATTTTTCCTTCCGTGGAGAGGAAGCGCGTGTGTGGCTATGATCTGTCACCATAGTCTCCACAGCATCAAGCCAATGAGGCTTACTAGAGAGCGACATCATTCCGCACTTACCCGCTTTGTACCAGCGAGTGAAGTAACGATCCACGAGCGACGGCACCACCGGCTCCGCGGCTTCGGGCTCGGTAGCCATGGCTACCTCCGGCGCCGCCACCCCCGCCCTCCCGGACCAGAGCGTTTCCTCCCGGCAGGCCGTGGCTGGGGGTGTTTTTCCGGCGCGCGGCTCGCGTCTTGCGCACGCGCGCTGCTTCCTGCCCCGCAGGCTCCGCCTACAGCTGCCAATTACTGTCTGGGGTCCGACATCAAAGCAGGGATCAAATACGATGCGGTAGGCAGGAGGGCGGAGGGACAGGGGCTGGTGGCCGGCGCAGCTCCTTCACTTCTGACCCCCTAGTCCTTCAGAGAAGGCCAGTCACCGCAAGCGACTAGGGAAACGCCCCCTGCATAGCCACGCCCCCGCCTCGTGACGACACTCCCGCGCCGCTCGGCTCGTGTCCGGCTCGCATCGGCAGCGCCTTAGTCGGGCTTCAGCTTTGGTCCTTCCGAGTCGCGCGGCTCTACCCTCCCGAGGCCTAGTGCGCAGCTTGAGAGCGCGGGAGCCGCCGACCGAGAGACGCGTACGCAATCCGGGGCGGGCTCTGGGAAGCCGGCTGCGCGTGGCAGGGGAGGCAGGGGCGGACCGCTATCTGGGGGTCCTCTGAGCGCGGCGCAGGTGAGCGGTCAGGCGACCCGGGCACGGCACTGGGCCCCGACCGCCCAAGGGTGTTGTGGTGTAGGGGACTCCCAGGCTTCTCTGCCTGCTGCGGTCCGAGGACTGGAGTGCGGCGTGCACACCTCTTTCCTAGAGCCTTACATTCTCTTTCTGCGGTCTTGCTCCATCCGGGGGCGCTGCAGCCCGGAGTTAACGTGTTGCTACCCCCGCTGCACTTAACCGAGCCTCCCTCCGTATTCCTTGCAGAGGGTGGATAATACCGCTGAAAGCAAACGAATTAATCCACGATGGAAGGCGACGGTTAATAGAGGTTTGGGTGCTTCTCTCGTCTGCGACTTTTTCGTGGAGCTTGTGTTCCCTGTGCTTATCCGTCTAATGTGGTATTTTATGTGGCTTTCCCTTCCATTAACTGTGGTTTCCGTGGAGGCAGTGACTGAATAATCTCTTCAGATCCTAGCATTTAGCAGTCGCTCAATCGGTGTTTGATGTTTGATGGTACGATAAGGTACTACGTAAAGGATTCAACTGTCTGTTGACAACCACGGTTCAGTGAAAAAGAGTGAGCAAAAAGGAGGCAAAGACAATTTTCAGCTTGGGGACAGGGAGTAGAAATGCCATATCCTCAAATAGGGCACACTCATTTGGTGGAAGAATAGTAAATTCTTCATTTTCCAGGTTGCATTTGATGAGCTTGTGAGAGATACTTGTGATAAACATCAGGAGGTTGAAAATGTGGACTTTGTGTTCACTTTGGGCTAATTAAGTCAGGGCTAGACATTTCAGTCTAATTGGTGTATTAGCGATTTGCTTGGTACCTATAGTCATGGGCATGATGATTAGTCAAGACTTAGATAGTTGAAGTGGCAAGGGAAAGAAAATAGAGGAGTTGTCAGAAAATTAGGAGAGGATCCAGGATTGACCTGTGGTGTGGAGTAATCTCTAGTACATTTAAAGGCTGGGAAAAGTTAAATCAATGGAGACAGGGTTAGAGATTGCAGATGTCAACGAAAGAGTATTAATAGACCTGGGAGAGTTTGGAGAATATTCCTTTCCTAACCTTGAAAGGATTGGGGACATGAATGACTTCCTCTGAGGAGATAAGGGAATGAGGATGATTGGTATGAAAATTCAGGTAAGTTAGTTTTGAGACGGAAGTAGATGACTGAGCTCACCTTGGCGGTGAACTTGGCAATATTGAAAGCTCAGTGATTTGAGAACTCAGGTTGTTTGCTGGATTTGTCAGTTAGGGTCCAGTCAAAAGTAGAAACCATACAGTATTTCAAAAATAGAGAGGATTTAATATGAAGAATTGGTTAAATAGCTGTTAGAGGAACAAAAAGTAAAAGCAGTGAAGTGACATAGAAGGTAAACTGAAAGAAGCCGTTACAACACTTAGCTAGGGCTAGGGATCAAAACAAGGGAAGATGTTGAGGTTATCAGGACCTAAACCTTGGAGAAGAGGCATTATGAAGCCTGACTCAGACTTCTGGTGTTGATGTCTCAGGAATTCAGAGGATGAGATCGGTGGAGCTGGATTTCAGCTGTCTGGAGGGGCCTCTGCCTGAGTGGTGCTGGTACCTCTGGCTGGGGTGGGGGGTGATGAGGCTGGACCTGTTGCTAGCGTGACAGGAACAGCAAGAAAACAGGAAAAAGTGAGTCCTCTGCTTTTCCCTTTACCTTCCCCCCACCCCCACTTTCTTTTCCTGAGGTCCATGGACCCCAGGGCTCCACAGACTTGGGTAAACAAAATCCAAGTTCACAAGGAGGGATATAGAGACATGATCTATCTGATCAGAGCAACAGTAACAGTATGATTATTGTTATATAAACCAGTGTGAAAAACAGCTAGGAAATTCTGCACAGCTGGCTCCTGTTGCTGTCCTCACTTATTGTTACTCTATCCCTTGCTTACTTCCCTCTAGCCAGACGTGCCAGCTATTCTCTCATCTCAAATGTACTTATCCTTTCAGATCGATGTCAGTGGGCATTTTTACGATGTTTAAAGATGAAAGGTGTAATTTTTACATGCTTTGAAAAACCCAAACTCTATATATAGAATTCGATTTAACTTAAAAACCTGCATGATATGATACCAAATAATTTCTAGAAGTTCTTGAATGTAAATGTCACCCAAAACTTACTAAAACCATTGTCTGCCTTGATTCTCTTCCTTACTTCCACCATATATGATCTTGCCTTCCTCTTAACCCACATTGTATGTTGTAGGATTCCTATTATAATGTACATTATCTGCTGTGGACTATAAGGATTGATTCATCTTTATTCTTTCAATGTCATTTATGTGAAATGTCAAGATGAGAGAGTTCACCTCACATTAAAGTGACAATAAGGCCAGTCTGGTCTGTGTAATGGCCACCCCTACCATAAGTTAGGGACTTGTAATCATAAATCTTAATGGGATCTGGGTATAAGTATCTAGCACATTAACACTTGTTTTGTTTTGTTTTTCCATTTAGATAGATTTCAGTATCCTCAATTATTGATAAGTATACACAATGGGTCAGGTTGCTGCCACACATCTATAGATGGATGTGTGCTCAGAGAGGGAGCTTTTTTCCCTTGGTTATTCTAACTACCACTTCTCTACCCCCTGAATCATTTCACTTATGTAAGTGTGGTCATTTCTCACTATTAAGCTATTCCTTTATCTCTTAGGGATTAATGCTTCATCAGGGAATATCTGTCCTTTTTTCTTGGGTATCATTTCATCATGCGAAATCTGGAGTTACTTCGGACCTTGGAGTTCAGGAATATTCAAGCTCCAGGGAGACCTCAGTGCTTCTGTCTTCGAACTGAACAGAAAACAGTGGTCATTGGCTCAGAACATGGATTGATAGAAATAGACCCCGTCAGAAGAGAAGTAAGTTACTGATAGAGAATGCTACACTTGGGTATGACCCTTGACTTGTCTTCTTCCAAACTTTCTTCCCCCAGGATAGTCTTTCTTTAACATCTTATTAAATTTATATCTTTTTAAAATTCTCTTTGCTTTATATAGTTGTTGTGTTAGACATAGCTTAAATAGTAACCTACCTTTAACTTTGCTGCTGAAGTCAGTAAAACTCTGATCTTATATTTTAAGTGGGTGCCCTACTTTTTACCCTTTCTACCATGTAAATACTATTTATAATGGTGGTTCTTAACAAACAATACACATGAAAATTACCCAAAGAGCTTTTTGAAAATATCTTTTAAAATAAATTTTAAAATTTATTTTTTAAATTTTTATTTATTTGTTTTTTTGATATGTGGTCTTGCTGTATCACCTAGGCTGGTCTTGAACTTCTGGGCTCAAGAAGTCCTCTTGCCTCAGCCTCCTGAGTAACTGGGGCATGCCCTTAGAAACATATTTGAGCCCCAATCTCATATCAGCTAAATCAGAATCGTTAATGCTGGATCCTAACCATATATATACTTTTAAAAGCTCAGTGGGTTGATTTTGATATCTTTCCTTAATTATATTTTGCTACTAATGTATTTTAGGTGATTATATTCTTAGTGCCTTTTCCCCATACTATAGAAATCTTAGAAGACCATAGTTAGCTCCATGTTTTATTGGACATTTTTAAATAGTCTGGGTTGCTTGTTTTTGTGTTTGTTTAACAGAAAGGTTTACATCACCTATTTTTCTTATTAAAGATGACACTGTTGTGATATTTCTTAAATGAACGCTTGGATTTTAATCTAAAAACCATTGTAAAAACTTCTGTATTATAAAAGAAGCATTAAAAAGTATTCTATTTCTGGAATTGTTATGAATTGTTCTTGAAGATATGTTGGATTAATTTGCATATGTGTTTCCTTTGGTGAAAGGTGAAACATGAAATTTCTTTGGTGGCAGAAGGCTTTCTCCCAGAGGATGGAAGTGGCTACATTGTTGGTATTCAGGACTTGCTAGATCAGGAGTCTGTGTGTGTGGCCACAGCCTCTGGAGATGTCATACTCTGCAGTCTTAGCACATACCAGGTAAGTAGAAGAGTGCAGTGAGGAGAAAGTCTCAAGCATCTTCAAATAGATCATTTGTTATTATGGACGTTTTCAAATCAGTAGCCATAATGTTTAAGCTTTTGCAAATTGCAGTCTTTGTATTATATATTTCTTTATAAAATATTGTTGGATTGGGTGTGGTGGCTCATGCTTATAATCCTAGCACTTTGGGAGGCCAGGGTGGGAAGATCACTTGAGGGCAGGAGTTCGAGGCCAACTTGAGCAACATAGTGGGACCCCATCTCTACAAAAATATAGAAAAATTAGCTGGGCGTGGTGGTCCACACCTATATTCTCAGCTACCCAGGAGGCTGAGGTAGTAGATCACTTGAGCCTAGGACTTTGAGGTTGCAGTGAGCTACGAAGGCATCACCATACTCTAGCCTGGGCAACAGAGCAAGACCTTACGTCCAAAAAAAAAATTGTTGGCGTGGCTTTAAGATTCTTCTACACTTGATCTTAGCCTAAAGCCTGAGAAATGATTCAAGATTCCTCTAAAACTCAGTTTTGTCTACTGCATTTATTAATTAGAAGAATCAGAACATTCCAAATGAGAGCTATTTAAAAAATAACTGGCCATTCTTGTGTGGTGTAAATCACGTCTTATCAGAATCTCATCCTGAGTTGTAGCCTTTATTTTTTAATTTCGAAAGTCTTTGAAATGTTTGTGTGGCTTATGTTTTTAGTTATGAATGTTGATTGGCTAACTTTAGAGTCCCTTAACTAAAGTAATACATTATCATTACATGCATATTTTAAGACAACCAGGAGACATAGATTTCAGCCAATTGTTTCTTTCTGTACTCTAGCTTAAGGTTGAGTTTTTGGATTCCAATCCTCACTTTCATAACAGCCAGGGTTTCCAATTACAATTGCTTGATTCTTTTTTAATCTTTGATTATTCCAGTAGTTGTGATCTTTAACATTGATTATGTCACAGGAGTTATGGTATTACTAATGGTAGGATAATAATAGTAGTTTACATTTATTAAATGTTTATAACGTGCAGGTACTTCTTCAAGTGTTCTTCAAGTGCTTTTTTTTTTTTTTTTTTTGAGACAGAGTCTCACTTTGTTGCCCAGGCTAGAGTGAGTGCCATGGTGTCAGCCTAGCTCACAGCAACCTCAATCTCCTGGACTCAAGCGATCCTTCTGCCTCAGCCTCCCAAGTAGCTGGGACTACAGGCATGTGCCACCATGCCCGGCTAATTTTTTCTATATATATTAGTTGGCCAATTAATTTCTTTCTATTTATAGTAGATACGGGGTCTTGCTCTTGCTCAGGCTGGCTTTGAACTCCTGACCTCGAGCAATCCTCCCATCTTGGCCTCCCAGAGTGCTAGGATTACAGGCGTGAGCCACCTCACCCAGCCTTCAAGTGCTTTTCATGCAAATTTATTTAATCTTCACTATGACCTTAGGAAATAGATTGTTGTTTCCCATTCTTCAGAAGAGGAAATTTAGGCACAGAATGCTTATATATCTAAGCCACAGTCAGGTATTTATCAGGTGGGGTTTGAACCCTGGCAGCCTAAATCTGGCACCTTTGCTTGAAACTATTCCATTTAGTACAATAATAAACCCTACTGTTAGTTCATGGTGAGAAAAGTCAAAACCATCACATACTCAATTCATATTTCTTATATTTAAAAGATATGCTTTTACTTCCCAAACATTTTATAGAATTTTTTCCTGATGACTGAGCTCCTCCAGTTCATTATCTCATCTAATGGTGCTGATCTTGCCCCATAGTGGCTTCTCCATTGTCTGGAAGATAGAGTCCATGTTCCTTATTGTGCCTTAGTGAGACCTTTCACTCACTATCTGTTCCCCAAATTCCTTTTTAGCTTCATCACTCCCCCCCCATTATTCCTATATATATGTATACCTTATGCTCTATTTGCAGCTGATTTTTTTCCCTAATGGAGTCTTGCTCTGTTGCCCAGGCTGGAGTGCAGTGGTGCAGTCAAAGCTCATTGTAACTCCTGAGCCTAAATGATTCTCCCGCTTCAGCCTCCTAAGTTGCTGGGACTACAGGTGCACACCACCACACTGGACTGATTTTTAACTCCTCTTTTTATGGCTTTATGCCTCAGTACTATTTTCCCTCTTGATCTCTCTCCTCTCCCTATAATCACTCTTTGAGACATCTCCTCAGAAAAATTTTCCTGGACACTCCTGAGCCACTTGTCATTTTCTGCACTGAGACCTCTGCTTCCCAAAGATCTTGGTTAAAGCTCTAATCCTCTGTAGAGTCATCTTTTTATCTCTTTCATGAGACAGCTCTGGGAGGAATAGGGTGTCTATTTCTAATCCCTTTACCTAATAACAGGTCTCTCGATACCTGTTACTGAAGATATATTTGTTAAATAAATTCACATTTGTATATTTGTTTTGATTGAGATTGTAGTAAATTTTTACTGAGATACTGGTGTTTTGGTTTTCGTTTTTCAATTTTCTCCGTCTTAGCTGGAATGTGTTGGGAGTGTAGCCAGTGGTATCTCTGTCATGAGTTGGAGTCCTGACCAAGAGCTGGTGCTCCTTGCCACAGGTAAGCTTGTCATTGGTGCCTAACTGACTTACTACTGCAAACATTACTCCAGATATCTTACAGGCTTTAGTTTTGGAGTGCTTAAGTTTTAAAAAAGTTTCTTTGAACAATGAATGATACCAGTATTACAAATAGTAAAGTGAATGTGTTTTTTTCTGACTTAAGTTTTACCTCTTAGTATATTTTTTAAAAAGTTGTTTCTTGTAACTTTTTCAGTCTTTACAAGTGGGGAAACAAAGTCATAAAATCTGAGAAGGCTGCTAAGTCCACAGTTATAGTTAAAAATGTCAGCAATATTTATTTTAACCTACTCTAAGAGTTGTTATATAAACAGATTCTAAAAGCCTCTCTTGCATTCATATTTTTTCCCTTAAGTCTCTTCAATCCAGATGAGTTCAGTAAACCAGCACCACTGATGATGTATATATTTGCAGAGATGTCTTGGATGGAAACTAGGTGTTGAAGTTGATGAAGGAGTATGTGGACTTTTATGTTCAGCTTTACACACTTAAATAGCTGAAAATAAGCACTAGCTGACATATCCAGGCAAAGCTTTTATTATTTTTTTTTTAAATCAAAGCATTTTGAGAGAATTCTTTCTGCCCTGACTCCTTCACTCCAGCTCTGTAGCTTATAGTGCTATAGACATTAATGAAATGGCAAATTTGTTACATGAAAATAACATCATTCTTGTTTGTGCCCCTCTAAGGTCAACAGACCCTGATTATGATGACAAAAGACTTTGAACCCATCATGGAGCAGCAGATCCACCAGGATGATTTTGGAGAAAGTGAGTATATCTTTGTTTGAAACATTTTGTTACCTTAGGTTCCTTCCCACTTCATTTTTCTTGTGCAGTGCTAGCCACATCATAAGCCTAAAGAACTGTGAAACTTAAACCTCCATTTACTAAATGTCTGTTAGCCCAGTTCCTTTAGCCCATCCCAGATTTTAAAAGGCATATCTCTGATGCCTCTACAGGTCTGAGGGGGCTGGCTTTGTCAGTAACTTAGAAAATAGAAATCTGTACTTGAGGTCACCTGGGTAGTTGTTTCCCAAACCCTAGGAAATGCTTAGGTTGGGGTTTTAATGAAAGAGATTGTATAAGCTAGAATAAAGAGAACATTTCTGGGGTGCAGTTTTGGGGAGAAGAGAAAACAGGTGGGCTAGAAGGCTGATTTTTGTTACAACTGATGAGATTCGAATCTGCATTTTCATGGGAACAATCAGATTTTTTTCGTGCTAAGATCTAGCCAAGGTCATTTGAGCATTTATGCTGTTGGGAATATTGAAGAGGGAGGAGAGGGGAGATGCTTATTGAATATAAGAAGCTCTGGCCAACTTGAAGACACCAGGTAGCTGGCCTGATTGAAGACAGGCATGGAGGAGAAGGTATTTCAACTTTTGCTGAGGGCTAACTTCATGTCTTTTTGCTCCACCAACTCTGAGAAATCATTTAGAAAACTACTCATTTATTCATTCATTCAAAAATTATTTGTTCAGAAGTAATTTTGAGAAGTATTTGTTCACACTTTGAACCCAACAGTGTGTTTGGTGCTATGGATAATTAAAAAATAGTTGACTAGTTAGATTTTCTCTTAGGGAGTCTCACAAGTACAGTAATGACATAATAATGCGAGTATAGGGTAGCATAAGGGAAGGAAATCAGTAACTGGAGAGGGAAGATTTCCCAAAGGAGGCTGACTTAAGCTGAGTCTCAGCTGAATTGATGTTGTGTAGATGAGGGCTGAGGGTTGGGGAGTAGTCTAGTCAAGTGAATGAGTCCATTTCAAGGGAGGGATGTTTCATAGAAACATGGTTTCTCAGGGGACTGAGTAGTTCAGCATTGCTGGAGTGGCAGGACATGAGGGTAGAATGAAATAAATGGATGGATTTTGATTAAGTTTGTGGTAGGGAATTTGGACATTGAATTATAGTTGATCAAGTATTAAAGGTTTTGATGATGAGAAATTTAAAGAGATTTTTCTAGTAGAAAGATGGCTCTTGATGACATATCTTTTTGTTTGTGTGTGTGGAGAGAGGTAAAAGACTAGAGGCAGAGTGATCAGGTGGGAAGTTGCTACTGGAATCTAGGTGAGAGAGAAGAGAGGTAGGTGTGGGGCTAGAAGAGGGAATGAATTCAGGAAAAATTTGATTCTCAATGAGAATGGGAGTACATTTTTTGGAATTATCTGAGAAACTTTTTTGGAATATATGTGCATGGTTCTGCTCCTACCCTAGACCTGTTTAAGAAATACCAGTTTAGAAAATGAAATAAATAGGTTTTCGTATATAAGGTGGAGGATGAAAGAGTTTAGTGAGACACCAGCCGGGTGATGGGAATAAAGATGTGAGTAACTGAGAGAGGGCAGATGGGGAAGTGCTGGTTTGTAAGGGGTAGGTGGTGAGTTCTGTTTTGGATTTGTTGACCAGCCATGTGGGATTGTTATGTGCAGTAGGCAGATAAAAGGGGCTGAAGCTCTGGAGAGGCCGAAGCTATGGACTGTTAGTGATTGGTATATAGGAAATTTTTAGAATCTTGAGAGCAGATGAACTTGCTCAGGGACCAGATATTACAGTGCTGGAAGAGTCTAGGATCCAGGGTGGAACTTGGGGCATCCAGATTTGAGGACAGTCATAGAGTAACCACTACATAGTACTCTTTGGGAAAGTGCTCTGGGCCTGGCTTTCCCCACTGACTTTTTCATAAAAAAGCCTAATGTAGTAAATCAAGGGTAAGATAGTCCAAGTTAGGGTGTTAGGCCTTAGAAATGTATTTATCAGTACAAAAAAATTACCCTATGGAGTGATGAATATTTTTCCCCTAATCTAGAGGTCAAGAAACTGATTCTGGAAAGGGCTTGGTAGTAAATATTTTTTGCTTTGCAGGCTGTGCAGTCTGTTGTAACTACTCCCCTTTGCTGTTGTAGTGTGAAAACAGTCATAGATAATACATAAGTACTCCAGTGTTCCAATAAAAGTTTCTTTGTAAAAGCAGATACAGGCTGTAGTTGACAGATTCCTGCTGTAACCCCATCACTTATTATCAGATCTCCATGGAAAAGTTCTGTTGCTTCACTTCTTGATCTTTTGCCTCTGTGGAAACTTGGCAGGTGGAAGCCCGGGGATGTGTAGCAAGATAGACGCTGCTATTTGTACAAAGCAAGGTGTGCTGTCAGGTATTATAGTGCTTGGATGTAAGCAGACAGGAAATGGTCATACTAACCCATAATTTGTAAAAATGGTTATAGCCCTGCTTCATCAGGGTCAGAATCAATGGCAGGAGGGAAGAATTGGGTCCTGGATTTGTCTGGTGTTTTCAGGACTCTTCTTCATGGTACCTCTTGCAAATGGATGCTGTATCTTACCTCCAGGAACAGAAGGGTTGTGTTGTTTCAGCAGCTCTGCCTTTATGTTTTGTATAAGAGAAGCATTATGATTTAGAAAGAACCCCAGTCAGTCTGGAAGGGAGAAGCCTTGTGTTCTAGTTTTGGGCTCTGCCATTAAGTCTGCATGAGGAGCTGGATTCAATGATCTGCAGTCCCCTCTACCACCAATGGGAGGTTAGATACATTTAGTTGATTGAAATCTTACAATTAGAACTTTATTCCCAGCTCTTGTCTTGGGTTCTTATGTTTTAGACATATTATGTAAATTCTTCATTTCATTCTTATTTGTAAGATGAGAATGAGATTGCTGACTCCTGTCATTAAGGGAATTTGGAATATATAAGATAGCAGTAAAGCACCTTCTAAATTAAGGGAGAAGTCACAGCTTGCCAGGAGTAAACTAAATGAATAAATAACAAAATAATAAGGGACATTTCAAATTCTTCAAAATTACTGGTGCATATAATATGGAACATAGTTTTTTCAAATATTGACTATTGGTTAAATTTATTGAGAGCTCTGAGACTTCATGAAGAATAGCAGTGAAACTGCTTTAATTTCATTTCATTTCATTTACTTGTCTCACACATTCTCAACCAATTGTTCTGTAGGCAAATTTATCACTGTTGGATGGGGCAAGAAGGAGACACAGTTCCATGGATCGGAAGGCAGGCAAGCAGCCTTTCAGATACAAATGGTAAGGTTGGTTTGATGGATTAAGAACCTTGATTGGAACAATTGGAAGTTCTGCCACCCACAGGAACTCTTAGGTGTCCAGTTAGAGGCGATAATGAACAATTTTCTTCTGCTTTAGTAAAACTGTTTAGCACCCTTAGGAAATGAGTCATTCTAGAAAGATTTTTTTTTTCTTTTTTTATTGCCAAGTTGTTTTGTGATTTATTTTCAGTGTAGTGAATAATTATAACCAATATTCATCACCCTGTTTAAAAAAAAAAATCACAGACAAAAATGAAACACCCTATACAGCCCTTCCTGAAATCCCTTCCCTTCCTCCCCAAAGATATGTGTCACCCTACATTCACTGTTGATCATTTTTGTGTACATGTTCTCCTACTTTTTCCTACATATGTGTATATTAGATATTTTTTCTGACTTTTTTTTTTTGGATAAAACTCTTTGTTTTCCTTCTTTCTGGATTAGAAAATTCTAAAGACCACATAATGATGTCTTGATGATTCAGGGCAGCACTTACCAGTCTTCTAATGTAGAGAGCCCCTGACAGCAGAGGAGTATATACTTTTAGGTCACCTGGAGAAGCAGCTTCAATGTCTACTATCACATTAAATTTCTTTCAATTCTTATATTTTATCTAAGTTTATGTTATACAATATGAATAATTTTTAAAATATAAAGTAAAAAATATTACTCTTGAGTTAAATTAATGCCCCAGGAAATGAGCCCTATTTGTCCTCTGGCATATTGCCAAATACCCCTAAGGGCAGCGTATATCTTGTAAGAGCAGTGGTCCCCAACCTTTTTGGCTCCAGGGACCTGTTTCATGGAAGACAATTTTTTCATAGACCTTGGGGGTGGAGGGGAATGGTTTCAGAATGATTCAAGTGCATTATATTTATTGTGAACTTTATTTCTATTGTTATATTGTCACTTGCCACTCATGGGGTTTTGATATGAGTCTGTAAGTAGTGGACTTATGGTGTCTTTGCAGTTGAACCTCTCTGCTAATGATAATCTGTATTTGCAGCAGCTCCCCAGTGCTAGCATCACTGCCTCAGCTCCACCTCAGATCATCAGGCATTAGATTCTCAGAAGGAGCATGCAACCTAGATCCCTTGTATGTGTAGTTTACAGTAGGCTTTGCGCTCCTCTGAGAATCTAACGCCATTGCTGATCTGGTAGGAGGTGGAGCTCAGGCAGTGATGTGAGCAATGGGGAGTGGCTATAAATACAGATGAAACTCCACTTGTTCACCTGCTATTTACCTCTTGCTGTGTGGCCTGGTTCCTAACAGGCCACAGACCAGTACCAGTCCACTACCAGGGGTTGGAAACCACAGTGTTAGAGAAGTATAGATTACATTATCATCATGACATTTGGTAGCTGTGAGACCTTGGCAAACTTCCTAACATTTCTGGACTTCAATATTCTTGTCTGTAAAGGGGACATAATATCTCCTTACAGGGCTTGAGATTTGTAGGTAATAGTATTTATGCAACAGCTACCACAGCATCAGCGCAAGGTAGGCACTCAAATGGTAGTTCCTGTTCTTGTTTTAGTGGACAAATAATTTTTGAAACTTTAAAAAATAAACATTGTTCTTATGTCAGAACAACTGTGTTATGAATAAATTATCCATGGTGGGTCTAATTCTGAAAACTTGATCTATAGAATCAGTAAAGGATTGTTAGAGGGCAGAAAAATGGAGTAAGTATTCATAAGACACAATCTTGCTTCTTTGGGGTGATCCTGTATAGTTGGTTTTTATATTCCCCTATTTTTAAGTCATTTTTTTTTTTTGCAGAGGACTAAGCGCATATATTTTAGATTTAAAAAATAATACTTTACCGATCCGTGTAATATATAAACCTCATAAACATTACATTAAATGAAAGAAGCTAGTCATAAAGATCTCATATGATCCCATTTATATGAAATGCTCAGAATAGGCAAATCTATAGAGACAGAAAGTAAATTAGTAGTTGCCTATGGCAGAGGGGCAAGGCAGGGAGGGAGAGACTGCTAATGGAGATTGGGTTTCCTTTGGGATGATGAAAATGTTCAAAATTTAGATTATGATGATGGTTATACAACTTTTTAATTACACTTTAAAAAACATTGAATTGTGTACTTCAAATGGGTGAACCTTAATGATACGTATATTATATTCCAATAAAGGTGTTAAAAAGTAGTACTTTAAGGGAATCTGTAGTAGTATTCAGAAAGTGGTAGTTTTCCATACTTTATTTAACTTTGGAGAAGGCATGTTATCCTGTTACCTGCTTAGAGTAAGAGTTATCTAGTACTGGTGTCTTCCTCTCTTTAGCATGAGTCTGCTTTGCCCTGGGATGACCATAGACCACAAGTTACCTGGCGTGGGGATGGACAGTTTTTTGCTGTGAGTGTTGTTTGCCCAGAAACAGGTATGGAAATAAATTGCAGTCAATCAAAAAATTTTTTTATTGTATTAAAGTTCAGGAAAGTTTTCTTCCTTTTGCTTTGAGTGGGATATTAATTACATGTCAGAGATGAAGGTGTGCTGCTTTACATGTTAAATGAGCTTAGAGTTAAGTGGAAGATCATTTAAAGTCATCTGGTCCATCCTCCCATCTGGTGAATACAAAATTTTAACAAGATTAATCTAATTGGCTTTGTAAAATCATGGCATTTTTTATTTATAAGGAAAGTGTTTGAAAACTTCTGACTTGACATCATTTATCAGAATGTTTTAAGTGTGTGTTTATTTGACTTCACCTATTGCACAGGGGCTCGGAAGGTCAGAGTGTGGAACCGAGAGTTTGCTTTGCAGTCAACAAGTGAGCCTGTGGCAGGACTAGGACCAGCGCTGGCTTGGAAGTGAGTGGGAGAAGAAACCTGAGTACTTTTCTTCAGAGAAATTCTTGGAACTGGGGTAGAGGTGGTGGTACCCATTGACCATAACACAAAAATATATTTACTTTTCTTCATTTGGCTTTGAGCCAATTTCTTTTCTTTCTTTCTTTTTTTTTTTTCTTCCTTTCTCTTTCTCTCTCTGTCTCTTTTCTTCTCTGAAATCTGGATTCAACTTGAATAGTAGATTCTGGGCTTCTCACAGATCTCATCATTCCAGGGCCTCATATATTTTGCATTCATAATTATTAAAAGGTTTCCATTATAGGCAGATCCTGTATGAAGCCATTGTATAGAGCAGAAAATGGTGCTTAGAAGGTTAGTCCGAATCTTCAAGGCTCTGTGGGCAATGGAACTTTTGTGAAAACTAGGAAAAGAGCTTCTTCCTCTGCACAAGTTCCCACATTAGGGGGATCTACTTACCAAGGAACATGCAGGCTGGATTCAGGCCCTCTCCTTCCATTCACCTCCTTGGCTCAGTAGCCTTGTGCAGATCTGCCCTGATTATGGATAGAAGAAATTTTTCCTCTGTCTCAGCAGAATCTGTTATATTCGATGGGACTCTAAGTTTCAGACATCTTGTTTCTCACCAGTGTGATATCACATGATAGAGCAAGAGAGAAGTGTATTTGAGTTAAAACTCTAGAGACCAATATGAGTAAGATGAGGCAATTAAGATGCTTTCACTAGATGGAGAAAGTCTTAAAAAAATACCTGCCTGAGCATAGAATATTTGCTAGAGTCATATAATTGAAGGATAAATAGGTTATAATTTTTAGGTCATTATGCTTGGAATGGTTTAATTGATTGATTTTTTTAAAAACATGATTGGTTACAATTTAAATCTGTGTTTTGTGGGCAAATGGAGCTTTTATGAAAATTGGGAAAAGGCATCTTTACTCTGGGCAGGTGCATTCCCACTGTAGGGTGAACTGCTTGCCAAGAGACAAGGTAACATGAATCTGAAAACTTCCTGAGATAAAGATATTTATTCATTCATTTATTTATTTTTGCTGAAAAAAATCTGTTGTCTGAATTTTATCTTGTTCATAAGCCAGTTGGATGAGCTTTTGTTCTAACACTGTGGGTTTGCTTTAAGACCCTCAGGCAGTTTGATTGCATCTACACAAGATAAACCCAACCAGCAGGATGTTGTGTTTTTTGAGAAAAATGGGCTTCTTCATGGACACTTTACACTTCCTTTCCTCAAAGATGAGGTTAAGGTAGGTGCCTGAGTTGTTTGCCATCAGATTTAGAGGACTTTCCACAGCTATAGAGGGAGTTTATATTTGATAGGGATATGTAAATAGAAGATCCAGAATAGACAGTAATAAAATTGGTGGCTTACTGTAACTGACTTTTCTTTCATAAAAGAGAAATTGTTTTTCCAAAGAGATTTTCCAAAAAATAAATGGCATTTCTTCACTACCTTAGATAAAACACAGGTGGGAAAATAGAAATACTAGTTTTTATTGCTTATTTTGACAAAAGCATGATTTTTCCAGTAATAAGGATATTTTTCATTTATAACATTTAAACCTTAAGAAACTTGTATATCATTAAGATCCTTGCTGAAGTAGAAACACATCAAATGGTAATCTTTAATTATGTAAAATTTTACACACCCTAAAATTTGAGAGAAGAGTTTAATGAACTCCCATGTATTTATTACTTTCAACATATACCAACACTTAGCAAAATTGTTTTCATCTGTCTACTATTCCCTGGCCTATACATATAAGCACACATTTTATTTCTTGGAGTTTTAATTCTAGAAATCATGTTTCAATATTTACTTTTAATAGTTAGGAATATTTTCCTTCACATAACCATAATTCTATTATTACACCGTATTTTATACCCAGTCCATATTCAAATTTCCCTGATTGTCTAAAAATGTCATTTTACATCTGATTAAATATCTTTTAATCTCTAAGATTAGTGCTTAAAGATTTATTTTTTTTTAAATCCTCTACTTTAAATATAATGACATATTTCACAGATTTGTTTGATGATTTTGTAAGTTAGTAATTTACAGCTAAGGATCAGCTCAGCTAGTGGGATTATTTGATTTGTGAGGGAAAAGAATTCAGCTATTGTAAAGATTTTGAAGTAAATGCATAGCTAAAGGCCAGTGACAGATCTTTTTTCCCTACTAGGTAAATGACTTGCTCTGGAATGCAGATTCGTCTGTGCTTGCTGTTTGGTTGGAAGACCTTCAGAGAGAAAAAAGTTCCACTCTGAAAACCTACGGTAAGACAGCTATACTATTTCAGCCTTATGCCCTATATGGTGTAGTGGATGGTAGAATGGTATGGGATTTCCTTCATTCCTTCTACTTAGTCCCTTAGTGGAATCAAAGAAGCTGGAGTGGATAGATGGAGATGGGGGAGTGGTTAGGTTTTGATTATTTATGGATTTCAGTCATGTATTAGGGTTCTCTAGAGAAAAAAAAACAGTAGGAGATATATATACACACACACACACACATATATGTGTGTGTATATATAGTCATATATATATATGTATGTACACTGTATAATACTATATATACTCAAATAGTATGTGTATATATACTGCATATATATAGTCATCCCTTGGTATCCTGGGGAGATTGGTTCCAGGGTTGCCTGTGTATACCCAGGTATGTACTTAAGTCCCAAAGTTGGCCCTGCAGAACTCTAGGATAGGAAAAGCTGGCCTTTTCTGTGTACTTGGGTATTGCATCCTGAAAATACTATATTTTCAATCTTGAGTTATAGATGTGGAGGATTAATTGTATTTAGTAAAAAAAATCTAGCCTTAGCAATGTGGTGAGATCCAGTCTCTATAAAAATTTTTAAAAAATTAATTAGGTGGGTGTGGTGGTACGCACCTTATAGTCCAGCAACTTGGGAGGCTGGGGTAGGAGGATCACTTGAGCCCAGAAATTTGAGATTGCAGTGAGCTATTATGATGCCACTGTACTCTAGCCAGGATGATGGAGTGAGACTCTGTCTCAAAAAAATAATTTTCCATGCCTTTTAAAATGTGTAAATCTGTGTTTTTAAGTATTAAATAACATATGAAAATAAAATTGAGAAGAAAACCTTATAGTTCTACCACTTAGTAATAATCACTATTAAAATTTTTCTTTTAGATTTTTTTTTAGTGTATGTCTCAGTATAGCTATGATCTCATTATTGTTAAAAGTGTAGATATGATACATGTAGTTTTGTAGCTTGCTTCAACTCTGTATCATGAACATATTTCCATTTCACGAGCATATGTACATCTGTATCATTTTAAATTGCTGTGTAATCTCTTGTGTCTCTTTATTGGATCTTGTGCTGTTAGACACTTAAAGTTTTATAATTTCTCATTGTCAATAGCAATGCACTGAACATTTTTGTTCATAAATCTTTTTACTTGATTACTAAGTGGCTTTCAAACCTGTAGTCAGTAGAACCTTTTTAACTGAAATGTTATTAAGAAACTCATTCATTCACTCAACTCAATAGTTCTCAACCCTGGCTGTACCTTTAGAAAAACATAATGATATCCAGGCTTCATCTCAGAATTGGGTTCAGTCTGTTGGAATGGGGATGATACATCAGTGTTTGATTAAAAGGCAAAAAAAGCTCCCTAGTGATTTTAACATTCAGCCACAGTTAAAAAGTACTGATTAACCAGTGTGGATGGCACTGTGAGATGCTCAGGGTAAAAATACTGCACAAGGATAGCCATAATCGCTATCTTCACAGAGTGTGAGCATATCGTCTAACTTACCAACCCATGCCTACATAGAAGTATATTAATAACATGGTTAAAGACTATGTTATATATGCTGTGATTGCTAAATTAAGACTTAGCAAGATTATGAAAATAGATTCCTTAATATAACCAATATTCCTTAACATAATTCATAATATAATAAGATCTTAATTTGTATGTGTCATCTGTTTAATAAAAGTTGATTTGGGCATGATTAGGTTGTGTTCTTTTAATAGGTCTTGGAAAGGATAATTGCATGCTAATCTCCCTTGGGCAGCTGAATCATAGTTAATACCAGATAGCCTTGGACATAATTGCATGCAAAGCACCTGGAAGAAAATAAGCATCTTAAGCCTAATACAACATAGTGATGCTAGTCCGGATCTTTCATTGAGTGTTTTATTAATAATACTATTAATCTAATTGCCATATTATCTTCTTCCTAAATGTTCATGAAAAACCCAGTACTGCCTAATCCTAGTTAGCTTTCCATGATGATCATACAGTTTGAAGTTAGAGGTGAAAATAAATGAATATTTCTGACCTTAATGATGCTTGACATTTTATCTCCATGGAAAACTATCTTTTAACAATTATTATTGTTATATTATGATTTTAATGAAGAGACTGAGCAGGGAGGGTCCCGTGAAATAGAAAAGATTGCCCGTCTCCCTCTAGGACGTGGTACGAAGTATGGTTCTTTGGCCTCTGAAGGCCTTTTTGTTTTCCCTTGCAGTTCAGCTCTGGACTGTTGGAAACTATCACTGGTATCTCAAACAAAGTCTGCCCTTCAGCACCTGTGGGAAGAGCAAGATTGTGTCGCTGATGTGGGACCCGGTCACCCCATACCGGCTGCATGTTCTCTGTCAGGGCTGGCATTACCTCTGCTATGACTGGCATTGGACAACTGACCGGAGCTCGGGAGATAATTCAAGTGACCTGGCAAATGTGGCTGTCATTGATGGAAGTAAGCTGCTGGGAAATATGTCCATGATCCTGAGCCCAGGACCTGCAGATGTGGTGGTTTGACTAGAACACTGGGGAATCTTTGTTCATCTTGCTTGTTTGGTTTATTTTTACTTATTTGTTTTGTGTTTCACTGAATGGGAATGCCATTAGGTGGGGTTGATACTCTTTCAAATCCCTCTTCCCCCCACAGTTTCCTGTTGTACTATATCCATGGCCTTCACATTTACTTGTCTGGTTTTAAAGACTTTGAAAATTTTGACCTTGAGTAGAGAGGAGGGTAACAGTAGAGTCTGTGAGATCAAATGTGTTATCCTTGTCTGTTTGCCTTGATACAGATTTATGTTGACCCTAGTACCATTCCACTTGTATTGCTTTGTTTCCTGATATAAATACTAGCTATATATATTGTGTGGCTCTTTGCTATGTTCCGTTCATGTCATAGACATCTGTCTACTGTGAGGATTAAATTGGTGTTTTATAATTAGGTGGAGAGGTTTTCTGGGGGATAGGGGGCAGGATTGGGGAATGAAATCCTCACCCAAATGGATAGTTTACTTACTGCTATAACATAAGGACACTTGCTTCTGAGATTGTATTGTGAATTGGTATACAAAGTCATATTGTGTGTAGTAATGATAATACTGATTTTATAAGTATGCTCTATATAGAGAACTTAATCAGATCTGCGTTATTACCAAATCCATACATAGGAAGTACTTTAAGGATTTTGAAGGTATTGATTCCCTTGGTTTAGTGTGGCTTGGTTGCAGGCCCAGGTTTAAAGCTAGAGCTGTGACCTCTTGGCCTTTTTGCCTTAGCCCCTGGCACCTGAAACTCCAAGTTCAGAGATGGACTATTTTAGGGCTAGAGGTAACAGTAACCAGATATAGACAGAACCCATGACACTTTGCCCCCATAATGTTTTTAAGCTTTTTTCATGAGAAAAACACTGAAAATTATTTTTAAGAATTGCTACACGTTTTTTACCACCATTACTACTTAGTGATACCATGATGTTCAGATGCCTTATTTTACAAATTGGATATTCATATGTCTAATCCTCCTTTTTCTTTTTCATATGCAGAGAGTGTATTGGTGACAGTCTTCCAGCAGACTGTAGTTCCACCTCCCATGTGCACATACCGATTGCTGCTCCCACACCCTGTGAATCAAGTCACATTCTCTGCACACCCTAAAAAGAGTAATGACCTTGCTATCCTGGATGCCAGTAACCAGATTTCTGTATATAAATGTGGTATGTTAAAAAACTATTACCATGATGTTCTGAATCAAGTCCCTCTGATTCCTACACAAAAGCAAATTATAGTTTGGTGTTTCCTTAGCTCTAGTGTCTCTAAAAATTTTGAAGTCTGTAATTGATTTCATTATCATTATGATATTTGATTGACTTGGGTTTTTTTGTTTTTTTTTTTTTACCCTACTCTGACTTATAAGAACAATTCCTTTTGCCTTACTGAACTTGAAGTTTTATTTAAGAAAAACATTCATTCAACTCTGGAAATAACATAGTGTCTTACTACATGGTTAACATGTTTTACTGTTTTCATTGCCTTTACACATATTTTCAGTTGTTCTCGTACTCATCCTAAGAACTATGTCAGAGATGAAGTTTTCCTGTTTATAGATGAGAAAACAAAATGTCAGAGGGTTTGCAATTTGTTTGAGCAAGCATGAATAAGGACTTCAGCACAGGCATTCTATCTCCTAATCTAGTTGTCCTTCCATAGTCCCATTGCTGTCACTTCCTTCTTGCTTTCCTGATGGACTGGAGAACCTGAAATTTGTTTTTATTTGTGAGTTCTATGGCCATATCATAAATAATACTTTCATATTGCAGTGGTAGCCTTGTTTTCAGATATCTTTTGAATTCTCAATTTAAAAAAGCCTAGATAGTTGCTGAGAGAGAATAATCAAATTTAATTAATTTATATTGGAATACCCTACTTTCATATCAGCTTTTCTGTTAAATCAGCAGCGTACTGTTTACATGAATTCTGTCTGGATATATCACCAGCTTCTCTGATTTTAGTTTTACTCTGTAAAATGCTATTACAAATGCTATAATATAGACAGAACTCATGACACTTTCCCCCCACCCTGTTTTTAAGCTTATTCCTGAGAAAAACACTGAAAATTATTATTTTTTTAGATGTTGAAAACATGGGTGTTTATTATTTATAGTATTATGCTAGTAATATTTAATTATTTATTATAAAGGCAAGCTGTAGGATTTATTAAAACGTGAAGTGGCAAGTGATTGAGGCTTCCATACACAGGATACTGCAAACGGCAGGAACAAAGCTAAGAAGCAGCCCCATGTTTGATAAAGTTAGGGATATTTATAAGTGCACTTATACACATAAGGCATTACTCTCTCCTTTTTGATAATCATTATTAGCTTGGTTTTTGTTTTGCTTTGTTTTAAATCCAGCTGTGGTACTAGAGCTGAAAATTATTTTTAAGAATTGCTGTATGTTTTTTACCACCATTATTACTTAATGGTACCACAATGTTCAGATGCCTTATCATCTTCCTTAAACTTTTTTAAATAGCTTTTTAAAAAATAATACTAATGTGTTCATTGTCAAGGCAAATCAGAAAAAGCAAAAATTAAATGATTTGCAAAGGTTTTCTATCAGCCAGTCATATCAAAAGTAAACAAATGTTTTCCTCTGTTACTCTTTGAGTGTCTTAATGTTAGTTTTGTGAGATTAGAAAGAATCAGATATAAACTAAGCTTTTGTGGTGCTTACTGTATGATGCTAATGATTTTATATATCACTTTATAATGAATGGGATGTTTTGTCCTATATTTACTTTTTTAAAAATAACTTTATGCCATTCATTTATTTAAAGTGTATAATTCAATGGTTTACACATGTGTGCATATGTATTCACAGGATTGTATAGCCATGATTGATTTTAGAATGTTTTCATCTCCCCAGAATGAAACCCTGTACCACCCTACGTTCATTTTACTTGATATTTATAACTCCCCATGATGAGGTAGGGCAGATTGAGTGCTCTGCTTTTAGAAGATTGATTGGCATCAATATGTGGGATCTGCCTAAGGCAAGGGATACCTGGAGGCAGAGATAATAGTTAGGAGAAGCTGTCTAGACAGGAGATAGTGAGAGCTTACACCAGGGCAATGTTTGTAGAAATGGAAAGAAGAGAGAGATCATACAAATTCAGAAACTAAAAATGCTTGAGAAGTTAGGGAACATATTGTAGGGAGTTTGGATATAAGAGAATCTGGAAAAAGATTGTGGAAATCCTTATTAGAGTATAGATTTAGAGATTAACATCTCAAACATGAAGCAGTTTCAGGTGATGACCCTGGTTTGGGCAGCTCAAATGGACTTGAAGTTGATGAATGCCAGCCAGCATTGGGCACCGGCCAGGTCAGCATGGTAAGAGGACAAGTTGGTGAGAGATTAAAAAGTGCTTGTGTAGAAATGGCTAACATCAACTTCTGTATTGTCCAAGGGGTCAAGTAAAGGTTGAAGAATAATAAACTTTATTCAGATCAAAAAGAATGACAAGAAAATATAAGAGGTTGAAGTCAAAGATTTCATTTGATGTGTCCTGAGTATCATTCCTCCCCGCTCCCCCTCACTGTTTCCAGTTTGTTTATTATGTGCCAGGCTTTTATCTAGTCCTTGCTTTCTGGAAATTGTATTCTAGTTGGTGACAAAGATAGTAAATAAATAAAATCTATCAGATGGCAAGCGCTGTGGAAGAAAATTAAGGATAATAGGGGATAGGAAGAGCTTGAGGGTAGGGGTGTCCTGCTGGGGGAAGGTGGCTTTTGTATTTAGGGGTATCAGGTGGTGTTTAAGTAGAGACGTAGTGAGAATCCCAGTGGGAGCCATGCAGACATCTGGGCTAAGAGCATTCCAAGCAGAGTAAAAAGCAGCTACATAGATGCCTGTGGTGTTTAGGAAAGAGCCAGGAGGCTGGGGTGGCTGCAGTAGAGCAAATGAGGAGAGAGTTGTGTAGGGTCATAGAGGTGACAGGGAACAGCTCTCATAGGGCTTTAGAGGCTTTTACTGAGTGAGATGGGAAGCCACCAGAAGGCTTGGAGCAGAGGAGTACAGTGCTTAGGACTTCAGAAGATTCAAGGTTATTGAGAGATGGTTGAGGACAATGGAGGAAATAGCACTGGGGTAAGGAGGTAGTCCCCCCACCTGGTCTTGCTGAGGTGTGGTTTTTATTGGTAAAGATTGTGATTGACATGGTATTAAAAGAAAGCAGAGATTTTAAGAAGGTGGGTGAGATGTGATTATTTTCTAGATTGCTTTATTTGCCTAATAGAAATCATTAATTGCAGAACCCCATTTCCTTAGTATTAGGAGAAATATTTATAGTCTACAATGATAGTATTTGCATTTTTGTTTTCTAGGTGATTGTCAAAGTGCGGACCCTACAGTGAAACTGGGAGCTGTGGGTGGAAATGGATTTAAAGTTTCCCTTAGAACACCTCATCTGGAAAAGAGATACAAGTATGTTCTTAATTATTTTAGACCTCTGAGAATGGAATCAGCCAGCATTTAGTCCTAAATTAAGCAACCTGTTGTTATTCTGTGCCTGTTGCTGAGTGGAAAAAAAGTAAATATAACACTCAGGTCCTAGTTTTTCAGCCTGGTTGGGGAAGCCAGTCACTTAGTTTGTCTGAATGCCATATATTCTGATGAGTAGGAGGGAAGTGTGAGTTGTAAACTGGCCTAAGACCCACTCCTCACAATAGCCCTTGATTCTCCAGGAAAAATCACATGGGAAAGATGGAGATGGTAATGATAAGATGGCATTGCATTCTTTTCCATAAGTGAGGACGTGTAGATTGTTCATAGGAATGACCTAATGCAGCCTCTGTCTTTGCCTCATTCTAGACTCCAGGACTTCTGTATGTTATGTTTTGAGGCTCCCAGGTTGGAAATGAGAATGCATTTTACCATTGAAATAGTATTCTAAACAATTGGGTATAATCGAATATCTCAGGTACACTATAGCCATTTGCAGAATGACCCAGAAGCCAAATTAAAATGCCACTTCTTTGAGAATATGTTTTTTAAAAGTATCACTTATTGAGTGCTTACAGATAAGAAAACAAAGTGTAGAGGTTAGGTAACTTGCCCAAGGTCATGAACCAGGTAAATAGAGAATCCAGGATTTGATTCTATTCTAGTTGATAAGTCCATGTTCTTAAGTATTGAACTGTTTTGCCTCCTGGGAGCATATATTTTCAAATTAATAGAAATAATTAACTGAATACAACACATAACAATTTAATAAATATGTTTCTTAAATATATGTGATATATTTAATAAATACAGTATGAGTACCCAAAAAAACCTGTGCATGTTTTGGGGGCTGCCTATATAATGCTTAGGGTTTTTTTTTTTTTTTTTGAGACAGAGTCTCGCTTTGTTGCCCAGGCTAGAGTGAGTGCCGTGGCATCAGCCTCGCTCACAGCAACCTCACACTCCTGGGCTCGAGCGATCCTTCTGCCTCAGCCTCCCGAGTAGCTGGGACTACAGGCATGCGCCACCATGCCCGGCTAATTTTTTATATACATATCAGTTGGCCAATTAATTTCTTTCTATTTATAGTAGAGACGGGGTCTCGCTCTTGCTCAGGCTGGTTTGAATCCTGACCTTGAGCAATCCGCCGCCTCGGCTCCCAGAGAGCTAGGATTACAGGCGTGAGCCACCGCGCCGGCCGGATTTTTAAGAACATTTATGTGGTCGGGCGTGGTGGCTCACGCCTATAATCCTAGCACTCTGGGAGGCCTAGGTGGGCGGATTGCTCGAGGTCAGGAGTTCGAAACCAGCCTGAGCAAGAGTGTGACCCTGTCTACTATAAATAGAAAGAAATTTATTGGCCACCTAATAGATATAGAAAAAATTAGCCGGGCATGGTGGCGCATGCCTGTAGTCCCAGCTACTTGGGAAGCTGAGGCAGCAGGATTGCTTGAACCCAGGAGTTTGAGGTTGCTGTGAGCTAGGCTGACGCCACAGCACCCACTCTAGCCTGAGCAATAAAGTGAGACTCTGTCTCAAAAAAAAAAAAAAAGTAAACAAAATAAAGAACATTTACCTGATTGATTTCATTTCACAGACTTGAAACCACTAGAGTACAAAGCTATAAGGCAAATTAGAATAGGTGAGGTAGTTTTGAATATAGTTTCATTAAAAAATAATCGAGAGAAGGATAACTTCGAGTCATTCAGAGATTTCATCAAGGACATAAATACTTCTCTTGATCCTTGAGGAAGGGATATGTTTGGAATTGAGAAAGAAGAAATTGGGAACGTTGGGTCTGGTGGGGAAGAGAGTGTCACCAGAACCAGGCGTAGGTATGATCCTTCATAGAGAGAACACTGTAGGCCGGGCGTGGTGGCTCACGCCTGTAATCGTAGCACTTAGGGAGGCTGAGGCGGGTGGATTGCTCGAGGTCAGGAGTTCGAAACCAGCCTGAGCAAGAGCGAGACCCTGTCTCTACTATAAATAGAAAGAAATTAATTGGCCAACTAATATATATAGAAAAAATTATCCAGGCCTGGTGGGGCATGCCTGTAGTCCCAGCTACTTGGGAGGCTGAGGCAGTAGGATTGCTTGAGCCCAGGAGTTTGAGGTTGTTGTGAGCTAGGCTGACGCCATGGCACTCACTCTAGCCTGGGTAACAAAGCCAGACTCTGTCTCACAAAAAAAGAAAAAGAGAGAACACTGTGGGCTCTGGGCTGAATGCAGTGGAGAGCCTGAGTCCATGGAGAGCTGGTTGAGTAGTAAGATCAAGCTCTAGTGACCAGCTTCTCCAGTGGGAGTTGAGGATTTTCTGCTTGATCTAAAAGGCAGGAAGTAGCCATTATAGGTTACTATGTGAGGTGACAACATCAGTGCCCTGGTCAGTTGTATAAATGCTACCGAAGGAGTATGTTACAGGCATGGAAACCATCTCTTATGCCAGTTGGTTATTTTGATGTAAGGTGCTTAGGAAAAGACCCATTCTACTGAGACCCAAATACCTGTTAGAATCTTGTTTAAATACTGGTAGATAGTGACCATGGATAGACTCTGGGGTTCATTTAGGGACTGGAACAGGGAATTTTCTTGTGTAGTCAGTTTCCTGAAGTGTTCTCTTCAAATTTAAAGATTTTAGTGTGTTTCAAATTTAATTTAAAATAAATACAAAAACATATTCTTAAACCAGACAAATATTATTTTTGGATTTGCTAGTATTTGGTATTATCTCAGGTTTTGTCCCTGCAGATAATTAGGAATTGATTGTATACAAGGGAGCTTCATTCTTCCTTCTTTCAGGAAAATCTCAGTGATTTTTAAAGTTTTATTCATGTCTTAGATATTCTTTAATATTTAAAACAGAATTCAATTTGAGAATAGTGAAGATCAAGAAGTAAACCCACTGAAGCTCAGCCTTCTCTCCTGGATTGAAGAAGACATCTTCCTGGCCGTAAGCCACAGCCAGTCCAGCACACAGTGTGTCATTCATCATTTGACTGTGGCCCCTTCTGAGATGGAGGAAGAGCAAGGACAGCTCAATGTCAGGTAGTTCTTCCCTGTATTCCACATGTTAAATAAGCAGACGGAGTTTGTCTTTTGCCTTTTATGAGCATGGGACTTTGTTTGGCTTCTAGCGAGCAAGGTTGAAGAACAGTAGCTTTCTTATTAGACAAACTTATCAAGAGGGTTAAGTCTCGTTTGAGTCATGTCAAAATAACAGACCAAAAATATATCAGAAAGTGGTGAAAAATAGGATAAATATCAATATATGAGGCAAATCATTTTTAAGATGTGTTGAATTCACCATCTACCCACATTCCTCCAGAGTAATTGCTAAATCTTATAATTGATTTTACTAACTAATAAGTGTAATTAGAGTGGCTAATTCTCATGGGCTAATGCGATGGGAAGGCATTTTATATATATATATATATATATACACACACATGCACATATCTATATATAACATTTTGTATATGTACACACACACACACAATGTACCATATAATGATGTACTGTCAGTGACAGACTGCGTATATGATAGTGGTCCCATAAGATTATAATAGAGCTGTATCTTTTTTTTTTTTTTTTTTGGTACTACGTATTTAAAATCCAATGGGTTTTTTGTTTTTCTGCTTGTTTGTTTTTTGAGAGAAGAGATCTCACTGTGTTGCCCTGGCTGGAGTGTAGTGGCGCAGTCATAGCTCCCTGCAGCCTTGAACTCCTAAGCTCAAGCAACTACCTCAGCTTCCAAAGTAGCTGAGACTACAGGCCACTGCACCCATCCCTCTTTTCTAAGTTTAGATATGTTTGAATATACAAGTATTTGCTGTTGTGTTACAATTGCCTACAGTATTCAGTACAGTAACATGCTGTATAGGTTTTTAGCCTAGGAGAAATAGGCTCTATAATATAGCCTAGGTGTATAGTAGGCTGTACCATCTAGGTTTCTTTATGTAGGTACACTCTATGATTTTGTATTAAAAAATCGCCTAATGATGCATGTCTCAGATGTATCCCTGTCATTAAGCAATGCATGAATGTCTACATGTTTTGTTTTGATGTGGAGACTTCAAAATGCTTCTTCTGGCTTCCTCTTTTATACATTCTGTTTGGCACTTGACTACATTTACCACTGGAAAGCCGCCTCTATATTTCTTTACTTAACTGTTACTGTTTCTTGGACCTGAGTTTTGTTTTTTCTTGACTGCATCTTCATTATATCACAGGTTTTAGTTAATGAATGCTCTTCTCTGTAATGCAAGCCCTATTGTGCAGTAGATGTAAATAACATTTTCTGGCCAGCTCCTAGAACCCTCAGGTTTCTAATGTCAAGACTTGACAACTTAGTCATACACTAATGATAATCCCCAGATTTGTTTGTAATTAAAGCTCCACTGGTTAGATTTATATTCTGAGAATGCTTTTTGCAAAATTAGGAACCTTTCCTTACTGTAAATATAAAATGTGTTATTGCAGTCATTTACTCCTGCTTTTTTGAGTCAATACTTGATGATATTTTGAAAAAGCTTTTTGTGAAATGTCTAGATGCTGAATGTATTCTAAGTAAATGCACACTCAGAGTTAGCCAGGAGCTTACTTTTTGAAAAGCAGCGCAATTTACTGTGTTTCTACTCTTTCAAATTTGAAATTCTTTGTCATTAGCTTAGAGATGTAAAAGCTAGATGTAGTCATCTGATTTGTTGTAAAGGAAATGAGAAGTCAAATTACAGTATGTTTTTGCTGTTTTGACTTTCGTTTTTCAAAAAAGACTGTTTTGTTCATACAAAAATATTAATGTCTTTGAGGAAAGCAAAGTCTCTCAGTTTTATAGCTATTAATAGTTTACATTTACTTGTACTTTGTAAAAGGTACTCTTACAGTTCTTTCCCTATGTTAGTTCATTTATTTCCCATAATACCTCTATGAAGTATGTGCTATTAGTACCATCATTTTACAGATGAGACAACTGAGGCATAGAGCAGGTAAGTAGTTTGCCTGTGATTATGCACCTGGAACCAGGATCTAATCCCACCTGGTTAGCCCCAGAATCTATTCTCTTAATCTCTTGACAGATAATTTATCCTCAGGAAACTGGAAGCATTTCTAGAGAAATTAACCATTGTTATAATTTTCAGGGTTTTCATAGATTGGTTACAAACTCTTCGAATTAAATTTTAATATTAGCACCATTTGTTTTTATCATTATCTCTTCCTTTAACCACTTCAGGACTGCGCTCACTGGCAGTGAAACCTAGCCCACAGCCAGCACTCATAGTCCGCACGATAGTTTGTGCTGTGCATTGACGACGAATCGTTTTGCTCTTGTGTGATGAGGAAAGCTTTAAAGCACTGAAAGCTTGTTTTACTTTACAGGCAGCTTTACTTGTAATGTAAATCAGAATAGGTAACATATACATATATGTTTTCATTACGTTATTTTTAAATGTTCACAATTTTATTTTGATAAATGAAAAATTAGAAAAGTCATATCACAGCTGTCGGCTAAAGTTGCTGTGCACGTTCATCTGTGGCTGTCGACTATAGTTGACTCTGGGCTGTGCGTGTTCATCTGTGGCTGTTGACTATAGTCGACACTGGTCCTAATATGGTTAAGAAATTCTACTTCTCTCTGTTGACTCAGAAAAAAGTGTAATGGCAGTAACAGATTCCTCTCTCCTCATTAATGAAGACCCACAGTTTTCTATGAGTGTATATGATAGCAATAGAGATATTGAGTGTGCTTATTTTCTTACAGACTGCTTTATTTAATGCAGTTTATATTTTGAGAAGACAGAAATGATACTGATGTCATCCATGTCTAATGAAGGCAATAAATTATAAGTCAATAAATTGTAATAAGTTGTAATAAGTTGTGGCCCGAATAGGAATGATGACATCACAATGTAGACAACTATCTCATTGGCTTTGCAGAAATAGTGTTGTGTAACAGGTATGGCTTTATCTGGGCTTGGGCTTGGAATGGTTTATGCATCCAACCAGCCATTCCTCCATCTATTCATCTATGAGTATATACGTGTATATGTATATAAGTATATAGTGCATATATAATGTGTATATATGTGTGTTGTGTTGAAATAGGCAGTGCAGCATTAAAGGGAAATTATTTATTTCTTTTTCAATTTTGCAAAATCAGTGAAATGTCACTACTTTTGGGAAAAATGGTCTGCTCACACCACCCCCACTTTGTTTTCTTACTTTCATCAGTTCGTCTGTGACGGTGAATGGGGTCATAATCAGTCTGTGCTGTAGTTCCAAGACCAAGTCAGTAGCATTGCAGCTGGCTGATGGCCAAATACTTAAGTACCTTTGGGGTGAGTATCAAAGTGTTAGGAAAGCATGTTTATGACTTACATAGATGTTTAATTCTTGAGAACATCTACCTGTGAGTATCTTGTGGAGGACAACATTAATTGTTAGGTTTTTTTAACTACCCTGGAAGACCCTAAGTTATGGAGTGGAATTGGCAGGTGTATTCTACTCCTATTTATTCCTGTAAAGAACTGGAGTACCCTGATGAGTTTCCAAAATACATTTGGAAAGTGATCCAAATTTCATGTGTTTTAGCAAGTATTGGTGTTAATGATTTTTTGCGAAGAGCACGTTGGCTGTTTATAAACCAGATCTACCAACCTTGCAGAGTCACCTTCTCTGGCTGTTACACCATGGAAGAACCCTGGTGGATTTCCTATTCAGTTTCCTTATCCGTGCACACAGATTGAATTGGCCATGATTGGAGGAGAGGTAAGTGAACACAGGGCAGGAAACTTACCACTTAAAGTAATTACCCAGGGACTGACAGCATTAGGTGGAAAGGGTGAGGGCTTTGGAGCTGGACCTAGGTCTTCACTAAATCTCAAGGCAACAATGGGAAGTTATCTTACTTTCCTGAGGCACATCCATAAAATGGGAAAAACAATCAATCAGTCAACCTGTGGGAGGAAGACTAAATGAGATAATATATGTGATTGGCAAAGTTTTATCTCTAGTTGTACAGAACATTCCAAGTTAGTTTAGTTAAATATTTTTTGAGGAGAACAGAAATGTGAGCTTGAAAATAGTATTCAGTAGGTTGTCATTCAACAAATGTCAGAAGGCCTGTAATTGTGGGAGATGGTAGGATGCAGTGGTAACAAAACAACTTGACTAATCCCTGCTCTTCTGGTGCTTGTACTCTATCAACAGAGATATGATTATTCCCTTTGATGGGAGAGTGAAGGAAATGAACAGAGTGTTAGGTAGAGAATAGTGAGGTGTTTGAGAGGTAATTAGAGGATGGTAGCTATGAGAATGGGAGTTCTAGTTTTGGTGGTCTAGGAAAGCCTCTCTGAGGTGGTGATATATGTGCTGAGATAGGAAGTAAAAGAAGGCTCCCTCCCTAGAAAGGAAGAGTATTCCAGGTGGAAGGAACTATAAATACCTTGAACTTGTCAGAAGCTCGTTTTATTCAAGGGACCGAATGGAAACAGTGTGGCTAGAACTTAGTGACAAGTCATAGAAGGGAGTTTGAATTTTTATTTTAATTTAACAAAGATAAGAAAGTTATTGGTGATTTTTAATAACAGAGTAATGTGTTCTGCTTTGTGGTTTCTAGCTACCCAGAGGAGAGTAGATTGGAGAGGGATGAAATTAGAATGGGCGATCAACACAGAGACTGTTGGAGTGGAGTCAGGGAAGCGGGGAAGGAGATGTATTTGAGATCTACACAGGAGATAGAAATGATGAGGCATGCTGATGGAATGGATGGCATCACATTCCATTTTGCACTGCACCAGTCATGTCTTAGGTATCTATATTCAATCCTGATTACAAGAACTTTAGATGTGAAATCAAAGGGCAGTAGTACTATGTAATGCAAGAGTAAGTTTTAACTAGTTTGTAATATTAAATAGAATTGCTTGTGATTTTAATTTTATTTCTTTACAGGAATGTGTCCTTGGTCTGACTGACAGATGTCGCTTTTTCCTCAATGACGCTGAGGTACCAAGGCTTTGTTTGGTGTTTGATTTTTTACACAGTGTTGGCCCTAAGTAATATAGCTAATATTCCCCCTTGCCTCTCTTGCTTTGTGACAGGTTGCATCAAATATCACATCATTTGCAGTATATGATGATTTTTTGTTGTTGACAACCCATTCCCATACCTGCCAGTGTTTTTGCCTGAGGGATGCTTCATTTAAAAGTAAGTTTTCAGTGTGTAAAATAGACATAATCCTTCTTCCATGTCTTGTCATTTGGACTTTTAAATTCTTCATCTACTTTGGCTTTTTAACATGGAGTCCTGGACTGGAGAAAACCTTTAGAGTTCTTTTCCTAGGCCCCAATCTCAACATTAATACCTCAGTTACATCATTCTGCACCAGTTAGTGAAGACATCTGAAGAATGAGGCCCTTCCTTAAATAGCATATTCTACAATGAAACATTTTCAGAAAATTTTATTATATAACTTATCTAATATTTTATTTTGAATTACCACATAGATCCCAAATTGGCATTATTTTCTAACTTCTATGTAATCTTCCTTTTCTCACTATGGCTACCCTCCATTGTACCTGGACTCCATCTCATGATTTGTAGGATATTGATTCCATTTTTTCTCCTATTCCATGCTGTGTGTGTGTGTTCTGTATTCTAAAAAGCCCACTTACTTTCTTTGCTCTAACTTTGAAACAGAGAATCTTTCTTTCGTTGATATGATTATAGTACACTGATAACGCTCAGCAACAGAAGTTGCCCTAATCCTTCCAGATCATTTGAGAAGTTGTGTATATGAACATGTATGAGGGCCCTGTAAGAGAGAGGGCAAGTTCCAGGGATGAGAGTGTTTATCAGAAGGGTTAATGATCTTGAGGTTTAGGGGGAGAGCAAAGGAATCTGGTTGTTATTTGCTCTCTTCTGTTTCAGATAATAGGTGTGGTTTCAACTGCAGTTAATGGAGAGTGGCTTATCATAATTCTTAAGGCTTAGCCAATGGTTTCTTTAGCATTACAGGCAGGTCTGAGCAGCAGTCATGTGTCCAACGGGGAGATTCTGCGGAAGGTGGAAAGGGGATCACGGATTGTTACTGTTGTGCCCCAGGACACAAAGCTTATACTACAGGTAAGATGTTTTTTCAGGCTTTCTTTTTTTTTTTTTTTTTTTGAGACCGAGTCTCGCTTTGTTGCCCAGGCTAGAGTGAGTGCCGTGGCGTCAGCCTAGCTCACAGCACCCTCAATCACCTGGACTCAAGCAATCCTACTGCCTCAGCCTCCCAAGTAGCTGGGACTACAGATATGCACCACCATGCCCGGCTAAGTTTTTCTAAATATATTAGTTGGCCAATTAATTTCTTTCTATTTATAGTAGAGATGGGGTCTCGCTCTTGCTCAGGCTGGTTTCGAACTCCTGACCTCGAGCAATCCTCCCACCTTGGCCTCCCAGAGTGCTAGGATTACAGGCGTGAGCCACCGCGCCCGGCCCTTTCAAGCTTTCTTACAGTCAATACCAAGCAGAATTCTTGCAGGTTGTATTTTAGGCTTTCTTATAATTTGTAATCATTTATTATAAGCCTTTCTTTGCTAGGCTTTCTGTTAGCTTTATATAAAGGTGTGTTGATACAGGTTCTGACCAGTAAGGCTCAGGGAAGCTTTTCTTTAAAGTCAAGGTAAATACTGAGAACAACTAGCTTTTGCTATTATAAACGTATGCTCATTTTATAGCATTGTGGTAGTTCTGTATGAAGAGTTAGGTAAAACTGTGTATCCTCACTGTTTAAATTTTTTCTACTTAATTAAAAATGTTACTGTTTTGATTTATTTATTCTAAGATGCCAAGAGGAAACTTAGAAGTCGTTTATCATCGAGCCCTGGTTTTAGCTCAGATTCGGAAGTGGTTGGACAAGTAAGTGCTGTGTACTATATATGACTAGTTAGCTTGTTGTGATTTATGTATGAAGACAATAAGTATTTTATTATATTTTTAAAAACTTGTAAATATGAAAAACATTTATTACAAATATCTTCAAACAGATTCTCAGAGCCTTTTTTTTTTTTACTTTAATACTATATATTGCAGTGGATATTTCTAACAGAAAGGATCATGATGCTCATCATGTAAATTAGGGCTTCTCTTAACTTAAGGGATCTATCTGGGCTTTAGGTGGCCTGTGAACCAGGGAAATTGTGCACCAAACTGTCTATGTGTATTTATCCAGGTAAAAAGCCCACAGCTTTCAGTAGATTTATAGAGGGGCCTATGACCCCCAAAAAATCACTGTTGTGAAGGAAATGATCAATTTTTTGAATCTATTAGGGGGAAACTTTATATTGGAAATGTCTATATTAATTCATTGTTTAAAATGTAGACCTGAGTTCTATCATGATTTTTCTCTTGTGTGTATGTGGGGATGTAGTGCTCAGACTGCTATGATGACTACTCACATCTTTTAAGAAGGTAAATGAACGTGGTACCTGATTTTTTTTTAATTCTGTAACTTCAGAGTATAAATCTAGTATGAGTTGTTTGGCGTTGGGGCTGTAATCTGATTATGACTGGTTTGCATAATAATGAAAATATGCTGGGTCAAGGGTGTTTAGTTTTTGTAAAGTACACCTTCTGTCCATTTTCTCTCTTTTCACAGACTTATGTTTAAGGAAGCATTTGAATGTATGAGGAAACTGAGAATTAATCTCAATCTGATGTATGATCATAACCCTAAGGTAACTTTTTAAATCTTTTACTTTAGCTTACTTTATACTTGAATTAATGTTCTGTACTAAAACTTTTTTTCTCTTTTTTTGGTAGATGTTTCTTGAAAATGTGGAAACCTTCATTAAACAGATAGAATCTGTAAATTATATTAATTTGTTTTTCACAGAATTGAAGTAAGTGTTTTGAATAATTCATGAGTATCATTTCCATAATTTCTCTCTTGTTAAGGAAATTAAATATAAGCTAGAGAAGAAAAATTACATACTGTTCATTTTTTTAAAAACTGTAACTCTTAGATGACAGTAGGTGTTTTGCTCTTTTTTCTTTTTTTAAAAATAGCCTATTTAAAAATGACTTTAAAACATGTCATTCAGAATTATCATTTGAGTTCATTCTTAGGTACACATACAAAACTGTTTTTCTTAGGAGATTGAAATCAAACAGTGTCTTTTTCTGACATGATTTTCCCCCCAACTTTTTAAATGAACCTTTTAAAACATATAGAAAAATTGAGAGAATTGTCCAATAAACACTCTGTACCACCCAGATTCTCCAGTTCATATTTTTCTATGTATGCTTTATCATTATCTATAATATGTCCATCCATCATTCATCTTGTTTTTAGACAAATTTCAAAGTAAGTTGTAGACATCAGTCCATTTTACTTACTTTTAGTACTTCATCTTCCATAGCATTAACTAGAGTGCATTCTTTGTGTATGGGTTGGTTTTGTTGGTCTTTTTTTAGGTTGAATTTATCTGCAGTGAAATGCACAAATCATAAGTATGCCATTGAATGAGTTTTGGCAAATATACATTTCACATAACCTGACCCCCTGTTGAGTTAAGAGCATTTCCTCCTCTTCAGACAGTTGTCTCAAATTCCTTCTCCATTTTTCCCTGTTTGCCCTCCCAGCCCCCATGCAACTACTGAGTTCTGAGTTTTCACCATAGGTCACTTCTGCATGTTCAAGAACTCTATATAAATGGAAATGTATAGTATTTACTCTTCTATGTAAATAAAGCTGCTTTTATTCAGCATATTGTCTTGAGATTCATCCATGTTTTTGTATGAATCACTAGTTTATTCTTTTTTTATTGCTCAGTAGTATGACATTATGTAAATAAACCACATTTGTTTTTTCATTCTCCTGTTGCTGGACACCTTGGTTATATCCTGTTTAGGGCTAATGCAAATAAAACATCTGCAGACATTCTTGTGTAAATCTTTTATAGCATGTTCTATTTCTAAATATTTTTATAATTAAACTGTCTTCCAAAAGTCATTTTTATTATTGTCTCATCAACATGCCAGGTATATGTTAGTAGTTTGATTGCTGGGCCTCATGTTCAGTTAGTGACCTTTTCATACACACTCTTCTTAGGGAAGAAGATGTCACAAAAACCATGTACCCTCCACCAGTTACCGGCAGTGTCCAGCTGTCCAGAGAGCCTGATGAGAAAAAACTAGACCTTATCTGTGATGCTATGAGAGCAGCCATGGAGAGCATAAATCCTCACAAGTATGTATGTTGTTGTGAGTTGGCATCTCTTGAATAACAGAAGTGTATAGTTGTCCTTGTCCAGTGTATTCATCCTTCTCATTCTGGTGTTCTTCACTTACTCCTCAGGTACTGCCTATCGATACTCACGTCTCACATCAAGAAAACCACCCCAGAACTAGAAATTGTGCTGCAGAAGGTACACGAGCTTCAAGGTAGTGACCTGCTCACAGAAAAGTGCTTAAAGTTGTCTTAACTATCACTGGTCTTCTGCAGGTGACCATTACCATGTCATTGCACATCCAAGATTTAATGTGTGGCTCTTTGGTCACCATTTTAAGACCTCTGTCAGTTTCTTTTATTGCTGTCTTACAAGCATGTGTAAAGGAGTCAAAAGTATATATTCATGTGGTGTCCAGTTCTGTCAGAAAAATTTATTATTTTGTCTTTTGGTTATGTTGCTGGGTCTGGGTTTTTTTCCCCAAATGGTTTTGTTTTCTAAACAGTGACAGGAAAACCTCCCTCTGTTCCTGATGCTGTGAGTGCTGAAGAGGCCTTGAAATATTTGTTGCTTCTGGTAGATGTTAATGAATTATATGATCATTCTCTGGGGACCTATGACTTTGATTTGGTCCTCATGGTGGCTGAGAAGTCACAGAAGGTATGTGGAGTTACTACTTTTATATCTTTTTGATTCTTATTTATACAATCATGGTAATATGAAACCCTGCTCCTGATAATGCAATATCTTTTCTGGTGTTACCCTGTGAGTACAGGGCTGGAGACAGATCTCTGAGTCTCCAGGGCCCATGCTCCTAAGCCTCATTTTCTATCAGCTCTTTGTTTATCAAAGGGTTTTAATTGCTGGGTTGAGGAGTGAAGTAAAGTTACATGGTTATTTTAAGATTATAGGCATATGTGTGAACTAATCCTTCTCTTATAAAGGAAGCCTAGTGTTCATATTTCACTCTAATTCTTTTTTTTTTATATATATATTAGTTGGCCAATTAATTTCTTTCTATTTATAGTAGAGACGGGGTCTCGCTCTTGCTCAGGCTGGTTTCGAACTCCTGACCTCGAGCAATCCGCCCGCCTCGGCCTCCCAGAGAGCTAGGATTACAGGCGTGAGCCACCGCGCCCGGCCTTTCACTCTAATTCTTTATCACATACCTGTTTTTTGCTGTAGAGAGTAGGTACATGGAGCTTGGAAAGGCCTAGGGCCTCTTTTCCCACCTTGGTACTTATGCTGTGGTCAAAAAGTTTGAGCACCACTGGTCGTTTTTTATCTGTTTTTTTGCAACCTGTTCTGGTCCCATATCAGTCCTTTCTTTGCTGTTGCCAGAATGATCTTTCCAAAAAGGGAAATTTTTTTGTTTTTGAGACAGAGTCTCGCTCTGTCACCCAGGCTAGACTGCCATCACATCAGCCTAGCTCACAGCAACCTCAAACTCCTGGGCTCAGGCAATCCTCCTGCCCCAGCCACTTGAGTAGCTGGGACTGTAGGTGTGTGACACAGTGTCTGGCTAATTTTTCTATTATTAGTAGAGATGGGGTCTCACTCTTGCTCAGGCTGGTCTTGAACTCTTGACCTCGAGTGATCCTCCCGCCTTGGCCTCCCAGAGTGCTAGGATTATAGGCGTGAGCTACCATGCCCTGCCCAAAAAGTGAAATCTGATCCTTCATTCCTCTGCTTATAATCCTTCACAAGCTCCCATTGCCCCTATGATAAAGTTCAGAAGCCATAATATTGCTTAAAAATCCTTCCTTGATCTGGCCTCTGTGTATCTTTCTGTCATCTCTTTTTTTATTTTTCTGTCATCTCTTGACATTGTCATTTTTTTCTCTGCCCATTGAGGAAAGATAGTGCTTTTGTCTCCCTTCCCACACCTCTCACCACTACCAACCACCACATGCCTTTGCAGGCACCATTATTTCTGCCTCCCTTGGGCTTCCATCACTGTTGTCCTCACCATTCATCAGGCTAATTTGTACTCATCTAGGTTGAAGGATGCTGAGGTGGCATCTTCCAGGTAAACCATTCTTGCCTCCCTCCAGGGCCTGGGTAAGATGGCCCTCCTTTGTGCTTCTGTTGTGTCCTGGGCCTACCCCAGCATACCACAATCTGACTACTTCTAGAGTGGAAGTTTCCTGAGGTTAAGGGTTATGTTTCATTCTTTGTACTTATCAGATTCTTACTGTTTGTTTGAATACGTTGACTCAAAGTCATCCTCTGTATCATGTGCATTTAATTATTTATTGTCTTTTTTTCCCCCCATATTGTTCTTACATATATTCATCCTGTTTGCTTAGTGAAATTGGATTAAGAACAGGAAGTACCTCTTCTTTAGGAAGAAAAAACGATTTGCTTACAGGGCTAGAGATGCACAGAGCTAGGGTTGGGTACCAAAAAATACTAGGTTGACAGAACCTGAGAGTTTTGTGTCCAACTCAAGTATAATTTTATTTTTGGTTTAACATGTGGTCTTTGCAAATGAAAGGCATGGAATGTCATAAAAATAGCACCAAAAGCAATGTCTTGCACATTTAGGAGAAACTTAGAAGCATTTGTTGAATATCTTCTAGATTGGAACCTTGTTTTTGTTATTTGGCTATGAAATAAGTGATACTGTGAGACTCAGTTTAAGGATTAGTAATTATTATTTCAAATGTAAACTAATCACATGTGAAAGTATTTTTACCAAATGTTTGATGTACAGTTCACCCTTGAACAACACAGGTTTGAGCTATGTGGGTTCACCTATACACAGATTTTTAGAAATAAACAGAGTCAGCCCTCCATACCCACAGGTTCCATATCCACACCCAAATGCAGGTCAAAAGTACAGTATTTATAGGATGTGAAACCCACAGGTATGGAGAGCTAACTTCTTGCATAAGCTGGTTTCATCGTGCTGAATGCAGGACTCGAGTATGCTCAGATTTTGGTATTGCGGCGTGCATCCTGGAACCAATCCCCTGTAGATACTGGGGACTTAATTTTATGTATTGTATGATGTATAGTTAATATATGATATACCTTTAAAAATTATGTAGCTTTGAGTTTATTGCTATCACTAAATGTTATGTATATCAATTGTTATTTGTAAATATCACAAGTAATAAAATTCTCTTTATTATATATTTTTTTAGGATCCCAAAGAATATCTTCCATTTCTTAATACACTTAAGAAAATGGAAACTAATTATCAGCGGTTTACTATAGACAAATACTTGAAGCGTTATGAAAAAGCCATTGGTCACCTCAGCAAATGTGGTAAGTGTGAGGGATTAGTATGTTCATTTCTGTTTCAAATCTTCTTTGGAACTAGGTATGGTATAAATCAAAATAACATGTTAGTTTAAACAGAGACTCATTTCAGTTTCCACTCTTGAAAACTTTAACACTCATGTATGTTCACCTATTTTGTCCTATGTTCTGAAAAACTGAGGGTAAAGCAAATCACTTTTAACCAATTGGTGGAGCTCCCTAACTAAGAACACAGAGCAGATCTTTTTTGGGTTAACAACGAACACCTCCTGAATTAACTTCAGTGTCTCAAAATCAAAACTGGTTGACGATTCACCCTTCCTCGTGTTGCTTGTAAACGTGAGGGAATCTGCCGATTGTATGGAATGAGTGGCCAGGCCCACTGCCCAGTGTCTGGGAAGACATGGTTTTAATTGGCAGTGATGGAGTAGAACAAGCACAGTGTCAGTTCTGCTTCAACCCTGTCCCTGTTTTGTGCTGGAGCAGTTGTGATTCTTCACTGAGGACTGACAAGGGGGCAAGGAAGAATCACCTGGCGTGTATGTTAAGCATTCAACTTCTAGCATCCTTGGAGAATCTGGGTCAGCTGGCCTGGGATAGGCCTGAGGTGTATGTAGGTTTAATAAGCATCACAGGGAGGTTGAGAAAACAACTGGGTAGCTAAAACTGTTAAATAGAAAGCTGATCCCAAGCAGTGCTTCTCCTACCTCAGAATCTGCAATGGTACTCATTAAAAAATTCAAATTATTGGATTCTGTTTTCCAGGTACTCTAATTATGTGGGTCTTGATTTTTGTTTGGGGAATGTTGGTATAAATGAATTCCATTGTGCTTCCTAAGTCTTAAGCTTATGTTTATGTGAATCTTATTTCTGCAGGACCCAAATACTTCCCAGAATGCTTAAACTTAATAAAAGATAAAAATTTGTATAATGAAGCTCTGAAGTTATATGCACCAAACTCGCAGCAGTACAAGGTATGTGGAACGTGAAATGTGGCTTTCCTGATTTTGCTTTGTGCATAAAAGGGGTGAGGATCTTGAGTTCATAATACTGTCTTGGTTCAAGGTTCATCTTAAAAACAAATTAACCCCGGAGGAAAAAAAAAAAAATTAACCTCATCTTGAACTTCTTATCTGTGAGAATGGTTCTGACCTGTTACGAAGAAATTGCCCAGGCAGGAATTTGGTGGTAGTTCTTGTTTGGTTTTTCGTTTTGGTTTTATTTTTTTTCATTGCTATATTATTCCCACTGTCCGAATAGCGCATATGTAGGCACTTAGTAATTTTTTGTTGAGTAAATAAATGGCACGTCCCCAGTAAGGTTTGGAATGGAAAAATGATTGCACTAACTGATCAACCATCAGATTTTCCCAAGTGATTCAGGAGAGTTTCAAGTGTGGTGACTAAGGCTGTTACATGGGAGCTGTAGCACATTTCTTCATTGACTCCAAACCTCCTCTTGTTATAGGATATCAGCATTGCTTATGGGGAACACTTGATGCAGGAGCACATGTACGAGCCAGCGGGGCTCGTGTTTGCCCGATGCAATGCCCACGAAAAAGCTCTCTCAGCCTTTCTGACTTGTGGCAGCTGGAAGCAAGCCCTCTGTGTGGCAGCCCAGCTTAACTTGACCAAAGACCAGCTGGCTGGCCTTGCCAGAACTCTGGCAGGTACGTGTGGTCATTTATTTGTCTACTTCTACAAAGGACTTTTGTTTCTTTCTTTGTGTTGTGTTGTTTGGTAATTCTGCAAGTAAATTTAGGGCAGCAAAGCTGGAGGTATTTTTATACTCATTGATAAAAATTAGTTTAGAATGGTTTATTAACTAGAGTAAAGGTTAAGGTGCTGAAACAAGAGTCCTAAAATGCAGTGGTATAATAAAAAAGGCCGTTTATTTCTCTCTAACATAGGGACTGATAGGTCCTTTCATTGTGTGGTCTGCAACCTTTTATGCAGAGGATTGTAGCTAGGTTATCTCCACATTTATGTTTCAGTCCTTGGAAAGGGGGAAAAGCTGGAGTAATGGGAAAATTCTTACCTTTAATTGAGAAATGACCTAGAAGTTAAACTATCACTTCTACTTCTTATTTGCTGAAATTTATGTGATATGGCCCATACCTAATACTATATAGCTGGGAGTCCATGTGCCCTGTAAGAAAGTAAAGATGAATTTTGAGATGGGCCATTCTGGTGTTGGCAGTAAATCACTGGAAACCATAGTGGCAATGGTCAGGAATGAGGTGAAAGAAAATGCCAAATGAACAGGCAGTCTGAAAGCAAAGGCAGTTTAGTTGCTTCAGGGTCTAGGGATTGCCTGAACCAGAGGTGAGGCTAGTAGCAGGGTCTGATTTCTTAGAGTGGAGGAGAGGTTAAGGATGCCTATGAAAAGAGTTGAGTAGTAGGGCCTCTGGCCCTCTCAGCAGTTCTTGAATTAAAGTAAAGGAATGATTGGTATATTTTTTCTCCTACCTTTTAAAAAATATTGTAAATATTATTGTAGTCTAAAAAAAGATCCTGAAAAAATTCCAAATTATATCATGTTAAATTTATATACATATCCTCTGTTATTTGCATTGTTCCTTTTTTCTTAGGTTATAAAAATGGTATGAGATTATCACTTTTCTTTTTCTGGTTATTAGATGTGTGGTCTTGTCTATAATTCCTCTCCATTTCCAAGCTGCACTTTCAGTTATTTATTCTGGCTCATTGTTACTTCTGATTTAGAAACTTATGTTATTGGTAGTATATACCTTAGTTTATACCTTCTAGCTCTGTTCTTGTGATCTATTCTCTTCTTTTATGTTCTTTACAACTCTTAGCTTGCTATTTACCATGGCTAATGATGGAGTATACCTAGTTCTCTCAGATGTTTAATAAAAAAAGGTGGGGAGGGCAGTGGTCAAAGGTTTGTTTTTTTTTTTCCTCAGAGAAAAAAAACACAGAGTGGTCAAAGACTTTTGAGAAATGTTATCCATTGGAGTCACTTTGTGTGTAAATTTAACTCAGGCAGTTTACACAAACCAGCAAAAGAAAGAAAACTATTTAAAATAGTGGAGGTGATTATACCTTTTTTCCCCCCAGCAATTACATACCCTGGAATGGGCATGAGATGAGAGACATAGTAAACCTCAAGGTCTGCGTGGCTGTCTGGTGTGATTTATTTCTGTTGGGCCAAGAGTGATTAGGATCTAAAGACACTGCATGACAACCCAAGCATAAATCAGCTACCTCCATCTAGTGCTCAACCAAAGAAATAGCAGTCTCTTCCTGTTAGAGAAGAAATAGGTTAGTCAGAGATCCTCGGTCAGTTTCCCATATGTGTGCCTTTGGAAGCATTTTTCAAGACTAACTTTGACTATATCCGATTTTGAAATTCTGTGCAACATTTAGATTCTAACTGCCATTTAAGGTAGGACTCAGTGGTATATATATTTGGTCTCCTCACAGAAATTCAAAAAGTACATAGTTTGATACATATTATAAAAAAGACATTAAAGAATCACTTCAGCCGAAGAATCTAATTTTGCTGTCAAATGCTTATTGTCTTTTCAGAAAAGCTAGTTGAGAAGAGGAAGCACGTTGATGCAGCCATAGTTTTGGAACAGTATGCCCAGGTAAATTCACTTCTTCCCTTCTAGACCCTCCCCAGTGAATAAGAAAGGACTTCTCAGTTGTACCTTACTCATCATGAAAAATAAAGGAACTATGAGTAATTGTGAAGTCCGGAAATAGTGTTTGCTCTGAAGGTTTTCCATATTGATGGCTTGACTTGAAATCTAAATTGAGTATATCTCTAAATAATAAGTTTTGTGAGGTAGAATACCACAGAGGTAGATTATAATATATACTAGTGGTTTGATCTTGGTAAAAAGTACTAAATTAAATCTCAAGGTAGTTGTGCTTTTGTTGTTAACTTTGCCAAAGTAGAAACAGTAAGAAGGGACCATTGTAAAATAAAGTAATAGGATGTTAACTCTTTTTTTTTCTTATTTCCATTCTCTCTATTGGAAAATCTTTTTTTACCTCAGCAGCTTGAGGGGTCCCATTTTTATAGCAGATTATAAGGATAAGAGCCATATGAGCTTTTAATAGAGTTTTAGGATTCATTATGAAAATAATAAAACTACACCGACACTGGCGACAGTCTAAACAGTATGCAAGTGCACAGCTGATGCCAGGAATTACTGCCTTGTAAAGAAAGTTTTGGCCTTTGATAAGTGTTTTTTATAGTTGTTACTGGTGGGCATGTTTACATAACATAATTATGCTTTTAAAATATTTCAGTATCTCTCATGTAGTAAGAGTAGGTGAAAAAGATAACTAAAATTTTACATTATTAGATCCTGGCGAGAAAGTATGTTAGGTGAGTAAGTTAAAAACATCGATGAATAGAACATGCCTAAGAGGATAGAGGTTGGAGTGAAAAGATACCACCTAAGAGGGTTAATTAAATGGATAAGATGCCACCATCTTTTTTTTCATTGTAAATGAAGATTAATTTGTAAAATTATTTTTCATAATTTACACAATAAAATTATATGTTGTACAAGTGTGGTATAATTTACATATAATATCAATGCACCAATTTAAAATGAAGAATGGTATGCATTTTGACCATTTTACAGTTGTGTAACCATCACCACACTCAATGATAATATAACATAGTTCTAACTCCCCCCAAAAGTTCTCTACTTTATTTTTTGCAGTCTTCTTCCTTCACTCTTAGCCTCTGGCAACCACTGATCTACTTTCTGTCACTAAAGTTTTGCTTTATTTAGAATTTCATAAGAATAGAACCATATGACATGTAGTGATTTTTTTTTCTTTCACTCATGTAATACATTTGAGATTCATCCATGTTGTAGTTTATTCCTTTTTATTGCTGATAATATTCTGTTGCATGGATATATCAGAAATTTGTGGATCCATTCACCGATTGATGTACATTTAGTTTTCAGTGTGAGGTTATTTATTTATGAATAAGGCAGCTGTGAACATTCCAGTACAGTCTTTGTGGGGACAGGAGTGGGAATACTAGGTTTCACAGTAAGTTGGTGTTTAACTTTATAAGGAACTTCAGAACTTTATGCAGTGGCTGTACCATTTTGTGTTCCCACCAGCGATGTGTCGGTGCCTCTGTCTCTCTTCTGCTCACCAACACTAGGTGTATTAATTACTGTGACACTGGGCATACTCTTTGTGGCTATGTAAGAATTTATCTCAAAACTCAGCTTCAAACAATAAACAACCATTACTTTACTTTTTCTATGGGTCAAGAATCTGGACAGGGGCTTTGCTAGGGTCCAATGGCTCAAGCTGTTTGATGAGGCTGCAGTTAAGTTCTTGGCCAGGGCTGGAATCGTTTCATGGTTAGATTAGTTTTTTTTTGTTTTTCTAATTTTTGCTTAGTAGTATATAGCTGACTTTTTCTTTTTCTTTTCTTTTTTTTTGGGCCTATTGGCCTGTATCCTATAACCTTGTTAAACTCATTCTAGCAGCTTTTGAGTACATACTCTAGGACTCTCTGCATTAAAAAAATGAACATGGTTTCTATGAATAAAGACAGTGTTACATCTTCCTTACAATTTGTATTTATATATTTTTTTCTAACCTTATTGCATTGGCTAGGACTTGCAGTACAGTGTTGAATAGAAGTGGTAAGAGTGGACATCCTTGCCTTTTCCCCAGTAATAGGGTGAGAAATTCAGTTTTTTATTATTAAGCATAATATTTGTTTTTTTTTTTTTTTTTTTGAGACAGAGTCTCACTCTGTTGCCCAGGCTAGAGTGCCATGGTGTCAGCCTAGCTCACAGCAACCTCAAACTCCTACACTCAAGCAATACTTCTGCCTCAGCCTCCCGAGTAGCTGGGACTACAGGAATGTGCTGCCATGCCAGGCTAATTTTTTTTCTATATATTTTTAGTTGACCAATTAATTTCTTTCTATTTTTAGTAGAGACAGCGTCTCACTCTTGCTCAGGTTGGTTTTGAACTCCTGACCTTGAGCAATCCTCCCAGCTTCCCAGAGTGCTAGGATTACAGGCGTGAGCTACTGTACCCGGCCAATATTTGATTTTTTTAGTGTACTCTATTGCAGGTGTTGACACACTGCAGACTGTGACAAATCAAGCATGCTACCTGTTTTTGTAAATAAACTTTTATTGGAACACAGCAATGACCATTTGTTTACATAATGTCTATGGCTCCTTTTATACTACAATGACAGGGTTAAGCAAAAAGTTGTGACAGAGATGGTTTGGCCCACAAAGTAAAATTATTTACTATCTAGCCTTTTACAGAAATTTACCAATTCCTGCCATCTTGGGTTCAGGATATCTTCTATTCTAGGTCTGAGAGTTTGTTTTCTTTAATCATAAATGGGTGCTGAATTTTGTCAAATGTATTTTCAACTATGATACGGTTTTTCGTTTTTAGACCAGAGTGATACAGTAAATCACATTGATTGATTTTTCATTATTAAACCAACCTTGCATCAAAGCCAACTTGGTCATCATCTATTATCCTTTTTCTATATTAGTAGATTAGATTTGCTAAAATTTTTTTGAGGATTTTTGTGTTTGTGTTTATGAGGGATGTTGGTTTCTAGCTTTCCTTTCTTTGTCAGGTTTTGGTATCAGGATAATGCTGCTCTTATAAAATATGGGAAAGTGATCCTTACTCTTTTGTTATCTGGAATAGTTTGTGTAGAATTGATGTGAGGAGCCAGCTTCTGGTTAAAAATCTGTATGTGATTTTTCAGACCTGACCATAAGCAATTACAGACTTTTCACTAGGAGGCCACATGGGAAAAAGCCACCTTCCCCATGCCAGGCTTGGGTGTACTGCCAATGCATTAGAGTTTCTAAAAGGAGTTGCACTCAAGGACTCAGGCCCCCCTGCAGTCTTGTTCTTTGTACAGTGTTTGTATTCCAAGCCCTGGCACCTTCATTCCTAGGTCTCCTTATCTGAGGCCTTGGGCTAAGGTCATCTTCGGGCACCTCTGCCAAGACCTCCTTATACAGGGAGGAGTGGGAAACCTTGAAGACACTTTTCCCCACTGTGACTCACTACCCAGTACTTTTCCACTCCTAGCCCTCCCTCTTTGCACCCCCACCCCCAAGGTCAATAAAACTGCTGAAGCCTTTTGTTTCAGTCTCTCTGAACAGTGAGACAGCCCTCACATCTGTGCTGATCCACCTGACCCTCTACCAGTGTTATTCCTAGGGGAAGAATGGAACAGAGAGAGTTGACACTTTCTCTGGTTTTAGCCTGCAATGACTAAAGGCTTAACTCTTTCATTTGGGGCTTGTTGCTTTAATCAGCTTCTCTGACACCAGCACACTCTCTCCCAGATCAGCCGAGCTCCTGACATGATATTTTTTTTTCCTTAAATGTTTAGTGGAATTTACCAGTAAAGCTATCTTGGCCTGGATTTTTCTTTATTGAAAATTTTTCATGGTGAATTCAGTTTCTTTAGTAGACATAAACCTATTTAAGTTATCTGTTACTTCTGGAGTGAGCATTTGGTCTTTCTGGAATGACTGTCTTTCAAGGAATTTGTTCATTTCATCTAAATTAGATTTATTGGCATAAAAGGTTTTTTTGGCATAAAATTTTATTTTTTTGGTGAGAGAATCTTGCTCTATTACCCTGGCTGGAGTACAGTGGCCTCAACACATCTCACTGCAACCTCAAACTCGTGGACTCGAGCCATCCTCCTGCCTCAGCCTCCCAAGTACCTGGGAATGTAGGCGCATACAAAACGTATTGGCATAAATTGTCTGCAGTATTCTCTTACCCTTTTATTGTCCGTAGGGTCTATGGTGATGTCCAGTCTTTCATCCCATTTTTGCTTATTTACATCTTCTTTTTTTCTGATCATTCTGGCTAGAGGTTTATCAATTTTATTGATCTTTTAAAAACAATGCCCTATTTTTTTTTTCTGTATTCCATTTCATTCAGTTCTCTTCATTATTTCCTATGTATTGCTTGCTTTGGGTTACATTTGGGTTTTAAGGCTTAAAATCATTGATTTGAGACTTTTCCTACTTTCTATTAATAGTTTAAGCATATAATACTATAATTTCTCTCAAGCACTGTTTTAGCTACATCCCACAAATTTTGACATACTGTGTTTTCATTTTCTAATTTCCCTTGTGATTTCTTCATCCACCCATGGGTTATTTAGAAGTATGTTATTTAACCTGCAGATATTTGGAGATTTTCTAATCGTTTTTCTGTTATTAATTTCTACTTTAATTCTCTTGTGAATAGAGAGCATATTTTTTTATTAATTCAGTCCTCTTGATGTGTGGCCCAGAATATGGTCTCTTTAAGAGAATGTTGTATGTGTACTTGGAAAGAATGTGAAATCTACTGTTATTAAATGATGGAGTATTCCATAAATGTCAATTAGGTTATGTTGGTTGATCATGCTGTCCTAGTTTCTTCTATCTTTATTGATTTTTCTCATTGCTTGCTTTGTCAGTTACTGGGACAGAAAGAGTGTTAAAATCTCCAGCTACAAAAGTGCATTTGCCTGGGAGGCCAAGGTGGGAGTATCGCTTAAGGTCAGGAGTTCCAGATCAGCCTGAGCAGGAGTGAGATCCCGTCTCTCACAAAAAATAGAAAAATCAGCCAGGCATGGTGGTACGCACCTGTAGTCTCAGCTCCTTGGGAGGCTGAGGCAGGAGGATTGCTTGAGCCCAGGAGTTTGAGGTTGATGTGAGGTATGATGACACCACTGCACTCTAGCCAGGGCGACAGAGTGAGATTCTGCCTCAAAAAAAAAAAAAGTATATTTGCCTATTTCTCATTTAATTCAACCATTGTTCGCTTTATGTATTTTGAGGCTCTGTTATAGATGAATAAATGTTTATGATTATATTTTAGATTAATTCATTATGAGATCCCTCTTTATCCTTGTTAATATTCCTTATTCTAGAATCTATTCTGTGAGTTATTAATTTAGCCCTTCCAACTTTCTTTTGATTAATCTTTTCGTGCCATATTTTTTTCCATCTTTTTACTTTTTTTTTTTTTTTTTTTTTGAGACAGAGTCTCGCTTTGTTGCCCAGGCTAGAGTGAGTGCCGTGGCATCAGCCTAGCTCACAGCAACCTCAAACTCCGTCAGCCTAGCTCACAGCAACCTCAAACTCCTGGCTCAAGCAATCCTCCTGCCTCAGCCTCCCAAGTAGCTGGGACTACAGGCATTCGCCACCATGCCCGGCTAATTTTTTGTATATATATTAGTTGGCCAATTAATTTCCTTCTATTTTATAGTAGAGACGGGGTCTCGCTCTTGCTCAGGCTGGTTTCGAACTCCTGACCTCGAGCAATCCGCCCGCCTCGGCCTCCCAGAGAGCTAGGATTACAGGCATGAGCCACCGCGCCTGGCCCATCTTTTTACTTTTAATCTACTAATATGTAGTCTTTATGTTTAAGGGGGTTCGTTGTTGACAGCATATAGTTGGTTCTTGTTTTTATATAATTTGACAAGCTCTGCCTTTTAATTAGAGTGTTTAGACCATTTGTACTTAATATGATTACCAATATACTTGGTTTTATACTTGCCATCTTGCTGTTGATTTTTTGTCTGTCTCATTGATTCTTTGTTTTTTCTTTTCTCCTTTCTTGCCTTCTTCTGGATTTAGTATTTTTAATAATTCCATTTTATCTCTACTATTGGCTTATTAGCTGTATCCTTTGTTTTAGTATTTTAGTGGTTGCTCTAGAATTTACAATACATATCATTAATTGACAATAGTCTACCTTCAAATAATAGTTACCACCACTTCATATGTAGAGTAAGAACCTTCCTTAAAAGGGTATGCTTCCATTCTGCCTGCTATTTCTTTGTGCTATTCTTTCCAACATTTTAATTCTACATGTATTACAGACTCCATAATTTGTTACTGCTTTTGCTTTAAGTAATCAATTATTATTTAAGAAAATTTAAAAATGACCCCAAAATTTCTTTCATATTTCTTCTCTTTTCTTCCAAGAAAAACTGGAAATATGGATTTTTATTTGATATTACCTGAGTTTTAAAAACTACAGGCCATTCAAAATGGATCAACAACCTAAATTTTTTTTTTTTTTTTTTTTTTTTGAGACAGAGTCTCACTTTGTTCCCCAGGCTAGAGTGAGTACCGTGGAGTCAGCCTCACTCACAGCAATCTCAAACTCTTGGGCTCAACCAATCCTACTGCCTCAGCCTCCCGAGTAGCTGGGACTATAGGCATGCGCCACCATGTCTGGCTAATTTTTGCTTTATATATTAGTTGGCCAATTAATTTCTTTCTATTTATAGTAGAGACGGGGTCTAGCTCTTGCTCAGGCTGGTTTCGAACTCCTGAGCTCAAACAATCCTCCCGCCTCGGCCTCCAAGAGTGCTAGGATTACAGGCGTGAGCCACCGCGCCCGGCCCAACAACCTAAATTTAAGAGGTAAAACTATAAAACTCTTAGAAGAAAACATAGGGGTAAATCTTCGATTTGGAGTTGGCAATGGATTTTTAGAATTAATACCAAAAGCCCAAGGAATAAAATAAAAAATTGATAAATTGCACTTCATAAAAATTAAGAACTTTTGACATCAAGGACATTGTCAAGAATGTGAAAAGATAATTTATAGAATAGAAGAAAATATTTAAAAATCACATATCTGATAAGGGTTTAATATCCAGAATATGTAAAGAATTCTTATAACTCAACAATAAAAAACCAGATAAGCCAATGTAAAAATAGTCGAAGGACTTGAATAGATATTTATCCAAAGAGGATATACAAATAAATGGCCAACAAGCACATGAAAAAATGTTCAACATCATTGGTCATTAAGGAAATGCAAATCAGGACCACAATTTGCTGTCACATAATACCCATTAGAATAGCTCTAATAAAAACAAATGGAAATAAGCCAGTCACAAAAGGGAATACTGTATGATTCCAATTATTTGTGGTTTCTAGAGTACTCAGATTCATGGAGACAAAGTATAGTGGTAGTTGCCATGGGCTGGGAGTAGGGGGAATGGGTATTATTGTTTAATGGGTATAGAATTTAAGTGTTGCGAGATGTAAAGAGTTCTAGAGATTGGTTGCACAATCATGTGAATGTGCTTAACATTAACTGAACTTCACTTAAAAATAATTATGATGGTAGATTTTACGGATATTTTTACCATAGTTAAATGGGGAAAAAAAAGGAAAAGTGTTGACAAGGATGTGGAGAAATAGGAACCCTCGAACATTTTTGGTGGAGTTGTAAAATTGTGCAGTTGCTGTGGAAAACAGTTTGGCAGTTCCTCAAAAGGGTAAACATTGAATGAATTACTGTATGACCCAGCAGTTCACTTTTAGGTATATACTCAAGAGAAATGAAAACATGTCCACAAATAACTTGTATATGCATGTTTATGGCAACATCATACATAGTAGTAGCCAAAAGGTGGAAGCAACCCAAATGTCTCACAGTGGATGGATGAATGAATAAATAAATAGTGATATATACATTTAATGGAATGTTATCCATCCATAAAAAGGAACACAAAATTGATACATGCTACAACTTGAGTGAACCTCCAAAACATTTTACTAAGTGAAAGAAGCCAGACATAAAAGGTTACCTCATATATGATTCATTTTATGTGATATATCCAGAAGAGGCAAATCCATAGACACAAATAGCAGATTAGAGGTTACCCAGGGGATGGAGGGTGTGCGAAAGGGGAAGTGGTTACTTAATGGGTATGAGGTGTTTTTATGGGTTGATGAAAAACTTTTTTCTTTTTTCTGCACCCAACCCCTGCCTCCATTAAAAATCTTTTGAAGGTAGAGAGGACATAACATAGGGAATATACTAAATTCCACCAGTTCTACACTTAAAAATGATTATGTTACGTGAATTCCACCTCAATAAAATACACATGGAGGTCAAACAGCATATCCGCACATCCTATTATGTCCCTTTGTGGGTTGAGGTATAGGAAGAAATATTTAATCTTTTAAAGTATAGTAGTATATACATATTATAGGTTTAAAATGCTGAAAGCAAATATAAGAAAATAAAATAACTTATTTCTAACACACCAAGATTGATATTTTGAGCATCTTGTATTTATTTCCATAGTTTTTTCTATGCATGCGTATATGTATTTTCAATGAAAATAAAATTGTATTCTGTTTTTAATTTGTTTTGTGCTATCTTCATCTTTTTATGTGAACACATTTTAATATTATCTAATAATATTTGAATTTCTCCAATGATTCTTAAAATCTAGGGCTGCATATTGAGTTTTGTATCTTCTGTCCTTTAAATATCTTTTAATGTAATGTACACTCCTCGTCCCCTTTTTTATGACAGTGACTATTTGAGGAAATCCAACGGATTGTCTTATATATTTCATCTTTTAAAATATGTTAAGTTTTATATGATTTATAAGTATATTAAATAATTATATATTGGGGCACATGATCAAAACCTTTTTACTGATAAGGGTACAGTATCAAAACTTTCTGAAGACTATAGGATATGAGATGTTGATTACATGAATTTTTTAGTTTTTTGTAAGTTTAAAGTTTTTCAAAATAAAAAGAGAAAAATAAGCATTTTAAAAGAGCAAAAAAAAAAAAGTTTAGAACATTACTACTCTAGTCCATCACATTTTCAAAGTGTCATCTTATTAACAATTTTGGAGCCCATTTAAACCTGCTGTGTCAAACTTGCTGATAAAGCTGAGACTGGTCATTTTAAACAGATCTTTGTGGTGGTTTTGATGTCCAAGGATGTAGAGGTATGATGCTTACCTTGTGTTGTGTCATTACTTCCAGAATACACATTCCTTTCTCTCTACTGCATCAGTATTTATGGAGCATAGACTCTAGGCCAGTCACAATCCTAAGAACTGGGAGTGTAAGGGATAAGGCTGACTAGGAAGATAGAGGAAGTCCCGTGGGCAGTTTACAGTTAGTTGTGATGAGCATCTGATATGCTTGCTCCATTCACCCATTGTCTTCCTTACTGTTACCTTGTCAGGATTATGAAGAAGCTGTGCTCTTGCTATTGGAAGGAGCTGCCTGGGAAGAAGCTCTGAGGCTGGTAAGAGAATTTTTTAAATCCTCTGTATGTCAGGAGCTAAGTAGATAGAGAGGACACGCATGCAAGAGAGTTCAGGTCAGCTGGGAATTTCTTGTCTTCTGAGGTTAGTGCAGTTAAGTATTAGGTCATTAAGTATGAAATGTCTGATTTCAAATCAAAAGTGTAGTTTATTATATCTCAAACAAGTACAAGAAGCAGTACAGTTAATTGAAGTGTGCTCCCAAAGTACCAATACAGTTTTGCCATCTTTTTTTTTTTTTTTGAGACAGATTATCCCTCTGTTGCCCCCAGGTAGAGTGCAGTGGTATCATCATAGCTCACTGCAACCTAAAACTCATGGGCTCAAGCAGTCCTCCCACTTCAGCCTCCCAGAGTGCTAGGATTACAGGTCTGAGCTACTGCACCCAGCCCAGTTTTGCCATCTTAATTATAGCTTGTTTTTGCTAGTAGCGAAGCCTGGGGAGCTAGTGGCTATGAAATTACCAAAGGTGTTTTCCACAGCTTGTTGACAATTAAATATTTTTCCTTGCAAGAACTGGTCCAAAGCCTGGAAGAAGTGGTAGTCACTTGGTGCAAGGTCTGGTGAATATGGTGAATGACAGAATTTCCAAGTCCAGTCTCTGTAGTTTGAGCGGTGTTGTTTGTGCCATATGTGGTCAAGTGTTGTCTTGGAAGAGGATTGGCCTGTCTCTATTGACCAATCTCGGCTGCTTAATTGCAAGTATCTCATCATTTTGTCCAATCAGTTGCAGTAGACATCTGCTTTAGTCGATTGATCAGGTTTCATGAAGGGGTAGTGGATAATACCAACGCTGGACTACCAAACAGACACCATTAAGTTTTTTGGATGAATATTTGGTTTTCAGCTGTGTTTTAGCACTTTATCTTGATCCAACCATTGTGCTGAACACTTGCAGTTGTCAAAAAGAATCCATTTCTTGTCACATGTAACAATACAGTGTAGAAATGGCTTGCCTTTATGTCTTGACAGCAAAGAAAGGCAAGCTTCAAGACAATTCGTCTTCTGACACTCATTTAATTAATGTGGAACCCATCTATCCAGCTTCTTTACCTAGCTCATTTGTTTCAAATGGCTCGATATTGTTGGAATAGTAACTTCAAACCTTGCTTCTAATTCATGTGTAGGTTGAGATGTATTTGCTTCCAGTACAGCTTTCCTCTCATCATCATCCACCTTGGTGTCAGGTTGCCCACATGCCTCATTTTCAGGGTTAAAATCACCAGAACAGAATTTAGACCATTGACATACTGTGTGTTCATTAGCCCCATCCTTCTCAAACACTTTGTTGATACTTTGAGCTGTCTGAATTGCACTGGTTCTGTGATGGAACTGATATTCAAAAATAACACGAACTTTTGACATATCCATGGTTTCACAAAAATTGATCTTAAAAAAAAATTTGAAAGATAATCACAAGCCAGACATACATTTGAAAGACTGAAGATGTATATTCATAATAAAAAGAAAACAAGCATCAAAATGAAATGTCAGAGATATCAACTGTCAAACTTAGTACTTAAGGAAATATGTCACTTCATACATAATAACCTAATAGAAATAGATCAGTTTCCCAGCCTAAGGATAAGCAGTATTTTTAAAAACATTTTTAACATTTAGCCTTGATAATATTTGGAATTAGTTCTCCACATGTAAAACATGCTGATTTTTACTGAAAAGAGTTGAATTTCCTTGATTGCCTTGGAGGAGGCCTGCTTTTTAGGAAAACATCCTGGTTACCTCTGAATATGATGCATGTCTTTCCAGGTATCTTACCTCTCCAATGACTAGAAATTTTCCTGCCTAAAATTAATATGTTTTTCCTTGTAGGTATACAAATATAACAGACTGGATATTATAGAAACCAACATAAAGCCTTCCATTTTAGAAGGTGAGGTTTATAGTTTAGATAGAATTCTTTTTCTGGAAGTATAGGGAAGGGGTAAAAAGAGAGATGGGAGAATCTCCCTCTGTTATTGCATTTTTAAATAATATGTTGTGTAGACGTAATCTAAATTTCCCACTGGGTATATTTAATTCTGACCAGAATGTTTTAATATGCTAAACTATTAGATGGTACCCATAAAAGATTTGAATGTTAGAAACCTGTGATAAAATACAATTAAGAATATTTATATTTGGGAATAGTTGGTAAATGTGAATATGTACTATATTATAATAATAGTATTGTATCAGTGATAAATTTCCTACATTTAATAATTGTACGTGGTTATGTAAGATAATATTCTGTTATTCTTGAGAGAAATGCTGAGGTATTAAAGGATCATATCTGCAACTTATTCTCAAAAGGTTCCACAAAAGTAATAATGTGTTTGCGTGTGCGTGTGTGTGCACACGTGCAGAGAAACAGGATACAAAAAAATACGGTAAAATGTTAATTGGTAAATCTAGGTGAGGGGTATATGTGTGTTCATTGAAGTACTACAACTCTTATGTAGATTTGGAATTTTTTAAAATATTAAAAAGTTTAAAAATAACACCTTTGCAAATATAGTGTATAATTCTTAGAGAACAGGTAATATGAATATTACCTGTTTAAGAATACTCACATGGTCACTGTGACCCCTTGAAAGCAAGATGGAGAAGGAGGACCTCAATTTGATTTACAGAAATCACAGGGAGTGAGGGTTGATTTTTAAGTTCTTCCATTGTAAGCAAGTCTAACCTGTAAGAAATGCCTGGACTTTCTGACATTTACATGTGTTCACATCCTTACCCTGCTTGTTCCTCATTCCTTATCCTGATTAAAACTGTTGGTGAGGTTCTTTTTTATCATTCATTTTAGGTATCCCTAATTGGATACTGAAGGCATCATTCCTGGCCCTATATCCAGCCAGCCAGCCATTACTTAGATTTTTATTACTAATGAGAATCTAGAAAAATGCTGATAATTCATCTGTGTAGACCTTATATCTATTAATAAAATGCAGCCTTGGATAGTAACATTTTGGTTTTTTTCACGTTTTATTAGTGAGTGTCATTTTTTTCTCATGTATTTTTCCATTGGGCAGTAATTTCCGGAAATCATTAGATACATTTATTCCACACCCACAGACATTTTGATGAGTGTGTAGGAAGAAACTGTCAAGCACTCTTCCTCTTATCTTTATTGACAGCTTCCTGTGCACTCCTTGTATTTGCCAGTCCTCTCTTGGGTTAGATACCAAGTCTTCGTTCAGGTGATTTTACAAGTTTAGTGGTAGAGAGTATTCTGGGATGATGCTGATGAACTGTAAAATCTGGAATCTCAGTCTCCAGTAAACTAATGCTGATTAAGCGAAAAGCTTGCTTGGAAGACCTAGTAACCTCTTTATTTTTGTTGAATTCTAATCCTGCCCTAACCTCCCTCCCTCTTAGTTTTTCTCTTTGCTTAAACATCATACTCAAATTATTTTCCATTCTGCATCTCTAGCCCAGAAAAATTATATGGTATTTTTCGACTCTCAGACAACCATATTCAGTCGCCACAAGAAACGTTTATTGGTGGTTCGAAAGCTCAAAGAGCAAGCACAGCAGGTGAATCTGGGTGAGTGTCTGCATGAAGACCTTGAGACTTGCTGGGGAATGGGGGTGAGTAGCACCACACGTTGTGTGAGCTGCAGTGTTCCTCCTGTGATGCGATTACTGTGCCATGGGAAGTCTGAGGACTTTGTGAAACCCCTTAGGGGCATGTATGTCTGTGTTTGTGTTTTGGAGAAAGTCTTGGGGTGGGACCAGCCATGAATAAATGGAAAAAGCTCTGCCAGACACCCCCCCCCAACCAGAGCAGCTGACAGCTTTTGTGTTTATAAAATCCTTCCTTGTTTCCAAAAAAAAAAAAAGAAAAAAAAGTTTGGTAAACTACTGACTTATAGTAATAATAACTGTATTTAATATTATTCATTTTGAGATCAACTTGTTAATAATTTTCTTCTTGTCTTTGATATGTTCTAGTTGACTCTAGTCCATTCACCTCCCTGAAGGTAAACCCACATTAACAGGCAATGTTTTCAACTACATCTGGTTTTTCTTTTCTAGAAGATGAGGTGCTCCATGGTCAAGAGTCAGACCTCTTCTCTGAAACGAGCAGCATTGTGAGTGGCAGTGAGCTGAGTGGCAAATACTCCCATAGTAATTCCAGGATATCAGCGTATGTATCAGTTTTTTTTTACATTGATCATGTCCTGGGCATGTGGAGAGAGTAGAACCAAATAGATTGGTTTTCTACTAGGATGGTGCAATGGGATTGGGGAGGATATTCTTCAAGGCTATGTGAAAGTTATGCAAGGACTTTCCCAGCGTATCTAACAGATTAGACTTAGCATTGAAATGTTTTCTTCTGTGGCTTTGTGGCCTATGTGTTTGCCCATTACCTGTGAGACACTTCCACTGGGCACTTAATTTATATAATATCTGATTTTACCTGTTGAGCAAATGAAAAGTGACCATAATGTGTAGGGTCTGAAAAAAATGAAAAGGTTATGAAGAAGAAATATTTTAGCTTGCTTGAATTCAGAATCAAGATTGTAAGAGATCATAAACAGAAGTCATCACACTTTTACTCAGTATAGTAATTTGTCGGAATTATTTTTCAACACTCATGCTAGATGCAGTGGATGTTACCAAAACCTTACAAGGAGATACAAGTTATAAGCGCTTATAGTCTTGCTTGGGAGACATTAAACAATGCAATATTAAATATTTAAACTGAATTGTGCTTTAGGAATTTAGAATGGAGGTCTGTAAGTTGTGTGTGGTGACCAGAAATTGCAAAAAAGGCAATCAGAATTGGGCTTTTAAGAGTTAGGAGAAGCCGAGTGTGGTGGCAGATACCTATAGTCCCAGCCACATGTGAGGCTGAGGCAGGAGGATCACTTGAGCCTAAGAGTTTGAGGCTGTAGTGTGCTATGATTATATCTCTGAGTAGCTATTATGCTCGAAACTGGGTAATATAGCAAGACCTCATCTCTTGGGGAGAAGAAAGTTGGAGAGAGAAAGTCCCATACAGAACAAATGGCATGATGAAAGCCCTCTGAGGCAGGAAAGAATGGGATTTGTACATATTTTATTATAGTCAGATTCCAATCTGGTATGTCTTATTTAAATTTTATTTTGTTGCTTTTCAGTTTCTTAGTTTTCTTAATTTTAAAATTTAAGTTGGTTGCTTTTTCACTCATTGTTCTAGCATACTGCATTCTCCCTTTATCCATGACGGGAGTATGTTCCAAGACCCTCAGTGAATGCCTGAAACCTCATATAGTGCTAAACCCTAAATATGTTGTGTTTTCTTGTACTACATACCTTAATGATAAGGTTTAATTTATAAATTAGGCACAGCAAGAGATTAAGAACAACTAATAATAAAATGGAGCAAGTATAACAATATACCAGCATTGTTACTACTCTTGCACTTTGGGGCCATTATTAAATAAAATAAGGAAGGGTTCATTGGACACAAGGAGTGTCGTACCACAGCTGTTAGTCTCATCCCCTAAGGACTAATGGATAGGTAGTATAGACAGTGTTGATATGCTAGACAAAGGGAGGATTCATGTTCCTGGCAAGATGGCATGAGATTTCATCATGTTACTCTTAATGGTGTACAATTTAAAGCTTATGAATTGCCTATATCTGGACTTTTCCATTTCTTTTTTTCGGGCCATGATTGACCTTGAGTAACTAAAACTATGGAAAGTGAAACCACATATAATGGGGAATACTGTATTACCAGATATAGCCTCATCTTACTCTGTATTTTGATCAAAACTTTAAGGCAAAAAATGACTCTCTAGGATTTTCCTTAATATTTCCTGCCTATAAGACTTCCCTCTCAATTTTCTTTTCTGTGTTGCTTTAACATCTCATCATCTTAATCCCCTGAAGTACAAATACCATCTGTAGACTCTATCTTACCAGAAAGTTGGTGGCCAGCAGGCACATTCATTTTAGTTTGTTCAGCACAGCGAAAAGCCCCTTTTTAAACATTTCTCTAATTTCTAATAGGAGATCATCTAAGAATCGCCGCAAAGCAGAGCGGAAGAAGCACAGCCTCAAAGAAGGGAGTCCGCTGGAGGATCTAGCCCTGTTGGAGGCACTGAATGAATTGGTACAGAGCACTGAGAAATTGAAAGGTATATTCTCAATACTGATGATGATTTTTTTTTTTTTGATAGGGTCTCACTCTGTTGCCTGGGCTAGAGTGCAGTGGCGTCATCATTCCTCACTACAACCTCAAACTCTTGAGCTCTAGTGATCCTCCTGCCTCAACCTCATGAGAAGGTGGAACTACAGATGCACGTCACACCCAGCTAATTTTTCTATTTTTTGTAGAGACGGGGTCTCACTTTTGCTCAGGCAGGTGGTGGTTATTCTTGATCACAAAAAATAGTAAACAGGCAGCATAGACAGGCAGAATTCAGTAGATAATTAAGATATAAGTTTCCTACTTTGACGAAAGATGAAAACTTTCAGCAGGAAGGGTCATTTCCACGTGTATTTTCCTGAAACAGTCCTTCTCAGCCAGTAACTGAGAAGCCTTCCTCTGTTTGGCATCGACCTAACTGAACTGTGAGGGATTAGCACTCAGGCCAGGATAAAGAATTGTGGGACACTGCTTTCTGCTTGGGCCTCAGTGTGTATGTTTTTGTAGAAGATGTGTTGAATTACCCCAGCATTTGAGAAGAAAGAAGAAAATGTGGGAGAATGCAACTGTAGTGTGATATTAGAAATTTTTGTTTGGGAAAGAAACTGTCTCTGGAGCTATGGGTCTATAAATGGAGCTGGGGACGCAACTTACCACTCTCTCAAATTTCTTCTTTTTAGATGAAGTGTACCATATTTTAAAGGTACTTTTTCTCTTTGAGTTTGATGAGCAAGGAAGGGAATTACAGAAGGCCTTTGAAGATACTCTGCTGTTGATGGAAAGGTCACTTCCAGAAATTTGGACTCCCACTGACCAGCAGAATTCGGCCACTCCTGTAAGTTTTCTCAAGACAGTGTGCATTGTTTTCATCATTTTCACAGATTATTTTCTTCACATAATCACTTAAAAGTCAAAGCAGAAACTTTCCTGTTCTTAATGTATAATGTGTCATAGTTAAATTATCTTAGATTTATGTCAATAAGGACATTTTACATTTATCTGTGCAGCGATTAGTACCAGTTGGCGCAGGTTAAGTGGGCTGTTATTTCTCCTTTCTGGGAGAAGCAGTTGTCATGGAGAAGATGGGAAAGTTACGTGGTTGCCCCTGGCCTTCAGTGAGGGTGGGATGGGGAGAGGGGAAATAAAGGATCAGAGTTGGCCTCTTACCTCCCAGTTCAGAACTCATGCATGGGATCAGAGTCTTTAAAGAGACCCCAGACAATTGCTTTTCCTTTCGTTTTATGGAAAATTTGAATTGTCACTTCTATGTTGTTATGGTAAGCTTTGCTAATTATGTTTAAGGCTGAATCAGTTTTGTGCCCCATTGAGAATTCTAATGTTTTGTCATCTGGTTTATTGTTTATACCTCTGCCCACTCCCTTAAGAAATGGGGATAATACTTCCCCTGTATGCTTTTCTGGAATGTTTTAAAGGTTAAATAAGAGGGTGGATGTAAAAATACTTTACAAAGTGTAAAAATAAAAGTAACTAAGAATCAGGACCCCACAAATTCTTGAATTTACTATAATAGGTATTTCCTAGAAGAAATGTGATCATCTTCAAAACTGCAATGGTTTTAAAGCTGATAATTTTTTTATTTTTTATTTTTTTATTGTTAGAACAACTTAGCAAAATAAAATTCCAGTTTATTGTTGGACATTGATTCACACATACATCAAACAGACCAAAAAAAAAAAAAAGGCAATTTCATAGACAAAAAAAGGAAAAAAATCTTTTGTCTTTGGTCTTTTTAACCATCTCATACAAACCAACTGCTTACAGTACAGTAAAGTATATACACAAAAAAGGTTACTGGAATGCTTAGAATAAGATTTATTGTTGTTTTTGCCTTTTTTACAAGGTTTTTTTCCTTCTTTAATATTATAATGAACATGGTTACATCACAAGTAAAGTCAGAAGTAGGACAGAGAACACTCCGAAAGCTGGTTTGGTCATCTGAGATCATTAAAAATGCCTGACCCCTAACAATATGTACAAAAATACAAAATGCAAATAAAAAATACAAACAAATTTCTTTTTCAAAATACTTCTAAGAAAAAAAGCAGGGCCTTGGAAGTTTTGGTTCTTTTTTTCTCTCCTGTTGCAAATTCTTGTAGTTTTGGTTGGATGGTAGAGAGTATGCATCATCTGTAGGTAGCACTGCCCACAGTGGGAAGGCGAGTCTCTCTACTGCAAGGTGACCACGTTTAGATTCTGAGACAGGAAATGGAGGGTGAATAGATCATGGTGGCCTTTTTTTTAAGTTTAACTTTTCCTTTTTTGCTATCTTGTCATCCTCATCGGTCTTCTGCTTCTTGGTATCAACATCAGTCATCATCATCTTCAGCTGCCTGTTGGTCTCTGGCAGCCTCAGCTTCATCATCTTCATCTCCATCCTATTCTACACCATCACCTTTCTCTTCCTCCTCCTCTTCCCCTTCCTCCTCACCTTCTTCCTCTTCTTCATCTATCTTATTGTCAGCCTCTTGCTCCCCATTTTCTTCATTAGTGGTCCCATTAGCCAGGGAACTGCTCTTCCATTCTCTGCCTTCTTCACAATTTCCTCCTTCTCCTTTAAGTCCCTGGCGGTCATCTCCGAGATGGTGTCCATGGCTGCCTCTGACATGGTGGGGCATCCAATGCAGGGGATGGAAAAGAAAGTGAGAGTTCGAGGACTCTGGCAATAAAGATGCTGGAGTCTGGGGGTTGTGGGAAGGGAGTAGTGGCTGTGGTGAGTAGGGAAACCTGGGAACAATGCAAAGCAGCCAGTGGAATGGGGGGCTTAAAGCTGATAATAATGCTACCCTGTGCCCTCTCCTCCCCTCTTCTATTCCATTCACATTAACTTCTAAGACATTAACTTTATGAATCTTTTAGGGAAAAAAGACCAGGAAAATTGTGTTTTGTTTTGATTGGTAAAGTATGGCAATGGTATGTGCAGGATACTGTGAGTCACTTGGAAGTGCTTTGAGTGCATGGCGTTTCTGAGTATGTACTACACCAAGGGACTACACAAAGTAGTGGGCCTGGGATGTGCCCAGAGTCTCACTGCAGGCTTAAAATTCCCATGAAATCTTATGTTTTACCTTGAACACATGTTCAAAGTTTGCATTCTATTCCCTGATATGCACGTTTGTATTTCTTTTAATATAAAAATGTTTCTTACAACTCTGAGTATAATTGATACTCTGTGTATTCTATAGCCTTTTGTATTATTTCCCCGTCCATCAGGGAATGGCTTGCTCATTTGGAAAAGGCCAAGCATATATCATTATAGAGTTTCTTTTCTTTCTTTCTCCTCTCTGCCTCATCATTTTTCTGGGAGAAAAGAAAATTAGGGGTCTAAGTTGAAATTGGAGAAACTGGCAAATTAAAATCACATAGGGAAAGAAGAATTACTGTTTGATACTACACCAGTAAAGATAACAGGCTATTTCCTACTGGTAGAGACTTTGGTGTTTGCAGTCATCAGACATATAAGATAATCCTTGCTAATACAGTCTACTTTCTACTTAGGTTCTAGGTCCCAATTCTACTGCAAATAGTATCATGGCCTCTTATCAACAACAGAAGACTTCGGTTCCTGTTTTTGGTTAGTATTTTTTCCTATAAATTATTACTGTAGTAAGCAGAAGGAATATCTTTCTGTAAGTATTAAAAACATCAGCAGTATAAGGAGAGATTGAGTATTGACTACATTTTTTCCTCGGTTCTAAGACTGCATTTTAGTAAGATCACTTTAATGCTTCCAGTAATGGGGACTTGGTGGGGGAAAATCCAACATAACGATTATATGTATAATTTTTTTAAAAAATTTTACCAATAATGGCAAATACTCGTCCATATAGGCACATCACAGTTACAGTTTCAGTCTGAACAGTCTACATTCACATATACATTTGAAAGGTTCTTCTGAAGTATCATTTTTGGCTATTGGCAGTTCCGCATTACATCTTGGGGACATTTTCATAATGCTTGCTTATGAATGGGACCTTTTTATCATGTTTAGAATTGACAGTATAATTTGAAGGCAAAAGCAAAGAATATTAACATTTTATCTGTATTTCCTATTTAGTTATACCTAAAATGTTTTGTTTACTTGTTGGGGGGAGGTGGTTCTCAGATTACACATATCCCTAAAAGTTAGAAGCCCTAAAGGCTTTCTTTTGAAAGTTCATCAGAAACATTTGTTGGATCAACTTGGCACCTTGAGTATTTGCCTTTCAGGTGGATCAGTCAAGCATACCACCTCACTTAGCTTTTAAAAATTAGTGATATTTTCTAAAATAATTGGTAGTGTTTACTATTATTTGCATTTTCTAGCATGTGGCAGGGAATGTTCTGAAATTTTTTCATTTAAGTGCGGCACTGTAATAGCATTTGGATGACATTTGAAGTAGCCTATGAGGATTCAAGTTAAATTTTAACTTTAACAGCTTATGTTGCTACCATGAATGAACTACTACCTTCCATGCCAGCTGAAGTCATACATCCAAACAGTAACTGCTGTATCTCCAGCTCCCCTTCTTTCTAAAGTCTAGCAAGCTGCATTTGGTACCAGTTCCAACACATACATTTATTTCCGAGTTGCTAAAAATTTCTCTTAGGTCTGAGGAAGTTTATTGTTTATTTTGAACTGTTGTCCAGTCAAGTTGTGATTTCTGCCTCCTGAGTTCCTCACTTCTGGCCTTGTGCTGACCTTTAGGTCAGGTCCAGTCGCACCATTCCATGGGGTATTCCAGATGACTTTCCCATTTTCAGAGAGTACTTTCATTTCCTAGCTGAGCCATAAAGCCATTCTGTAATATTTAAGAGAATACCCTGTCCAGCTAACGGTAGTTAAGTATATTCACACATCTTCACAAGTGGGATCAGAGACTTGATGGAGCATTTTCTCTGATTATTTCTTGCTTTGATGCAGTACAATATCATGCAGATCAATTGCAATTTTTGTAAAAATGTAGTATTTCATAAAATGGATTAAAGTGATATTGGGAAAGTACTTGCATTACAGCTGAGTTGGACTTGTTAAAATTGAGAACACAATAAGCACTTCAAATGATTTACCTATCAAAGGATTAAGAGAGGTCCTTGGAAAAATTGAAAAGCTCTCAAGGTATTTTTATAAAAGTGACTTTCTTTTTGTGCTGTGAAATTCAAACATGGGAATTTGAAAGATGTCATGTCCTGCTGTCATAGTTGGTAAGAATAATTACTTTACTGCACAAAAGTCAATAGTAGGTATTTATTCCAAGTTAAGTCTAGAATCAAATATAGTTGTACTTATGCATGATTTTTAAAAACAAGATAGAGCTTGCTGGGCACAGTGGTACGTGACTATAGTCCCAGCTACTCAGGAGGCTGAGGTGGAGGAACACTTGAGCCTAGGAGTTTGAGACCCAGGGCAATTATAGTAAGATCCCATCTCAAGTAAAAGGAGAAAAAAATAAGACAGAATACATTATTTTCATAACTGGTTTCTTTTTCTTTAAAAGATAGTCTTATTCAAACTTTACCATTTATGAAATTATGAACCTTGTTGACAGTTAATTTATTTAAGCAGCCTTTTCCTAGTAGCAATATTCTTATATAACCCAAACCTCCTGTTGGCTTTTGTCTATGTAGGTTTTTGTTTTGGCAGTATGGAGAACAGTAAGTGTATGTGTAATTACAAAACTGAAAAGTTTGCAGAGAAAATCTGCATTATAAAGTATGTCAAGGAAAATTTATTAATAAAACTTGATAATTTCTAGTCATGTGTATGTATATGCATGCATGTATTATGTATAATGTAAAAATCATGTTTTAAAAATAATTTATCTCGAGGATTTTCCTCACATTATTAAATATTCTTTCAAAGTACAGTTGACCCTTAAACAACATGGGTTTGAACTGCATGGGTCCACTTATGTAAGTATTTTTTCAATAAATATACTGGAACATTTTTTAGAGATTTGCAACTATGTGAAAAAACAGAGAAATGTTGAAGCCTAGAAATATTTTAAGAATTTTAAGGAAAAGGTTTGCCATAAATATAAAACACATGTAGATACTAGTCTATTTAATATTTAAAAATTTTGAAAAAGATATGTCATAAATGCATAAAGTGTAATATTAGTCTATTTTATTATTTACTAAGATAAAACATACACAAGTCTATTATAAACAGTTAAAACTTATCAGAACTTAGCACATACTTACCACATGGCTCCATTAGCATTTAAGAGAAATGTAAACAAATGTAAAGATGCAGTATTAAATCATGACTGCATAAGATTAACTATATTACACACTAATAATTTCATAGCCACCTCTTGTTGCTCTGGATGTGAACTTAACTGTTTCAAGTATCCACTTAAAATGTCCCATAGTGCTAATCATCTCTGCACGAGCAGTTCGTCTCCAATAAGTTGAGTATAGCAGTAAAAAGTGATATCTCGTGGTTCTTGTGTATTTTTTAAAATCATGTTTAGTTAATATCATAAACCTTAAATGAGATCCACTGGAAGTGCCACTAGTGATGCTAGAAGTGCTCCCAAGAAGCAAAGAAAAGTCATGATGTCACTAGAAAAAAGGCCAGGTGCAGTGGCTCAAGCCAATGATCCCAGCTCTTTGGGAAGCTGAGGCCAGGGGTTAGAGACCAGCCTGAACAACATAACAAGACCCTGTCTCTACTAAAAAAATAAAAAGTTGAATTGCTTGATGATGTACTATAGATTGAGGTCTACGATTGCAATTGCCTACCATTTCAAGATAAATGAATCCAGCTCAAGGAACATTATAAAAAAAGAAAACTCATGAAGCCATTGCTGCAGCTATGCCAGCATGCATGAAAACCTTGCACTTTTTGAGAAGTACCTTTTTATCTCATATTGAAAATGCAGCTTTTATATGGATGCAGGATTGCTATAAGAAAGATATGTATATATACTAATATGATTTGAGAAAAGCTAAAGTCATATGGGAAGTTAAAGCAAAAGGAATGTGAAGGTTCTAAAGCTGGATGTCAGCAAAGGATGGCTTGATAATTTTAGAAAGAGGTTTGGCTTAAAAATATCAAAATAGGAGAAGCAACTTCTACCAACAAAGGGGCAGCAGACAAGTTCCCAGACACCATTGAGAAAATCATTCTGGAGAAAGGATATCTGTCTGAATATGTTTTCAACACAGAAGTACCCAATTACGGAAAAAATGCCATGAAAGACATTTATTAGTGAAGAAGAGAAGCAAGCACCAGGATTTAAGGCAGGAAGGGATAGGCTAACTCTACTCTTTTGTGCAAATGCAATTGGGTTTATGATCAGGACTGCCCTTATCTATAAAGCTGCTAACCCCCGAGCCTTGAAATTGCATGGATCCTTTGATGATATGAGCACTGAAACTAAGGGAAACTGTAGAAGAATTGGTACTGTATAGAAACATTTTTAGAGACCAAAAAAGTTAGAAATCTCGATGTATTTCTGTATAGTTACACTGAGTGTGCTTGCCTGTCTTGCCTCCCCTTCTTCCTCCACCTCTTCTTCCTCTGCCACCCCTGAGACAGCAGGACCAATCCCTCCTCTTCTCTTCCTCTTCCCCAACATGATGGCAATGAGGATGAAAGGTCTTTATGGTGATCCATTCCTATTTAATGAATAAAAATGTATTTTCTCTTCCTTAAGATTGTCTCAATTATATTTTCTTTTCTCTACCTTACTGTATTGTAAGAATACGGTATGTAATATGTATAATGTGTGTTAATTGACTATGTTATTGGTAAGGCTTCTAGTCAATAGTAGGCTATTATGTTTTTGGTGAGTCGAAAGTTATATATGAGTTTGTGACTATGGGGCGGGAGGGGGGGCGGTCAGTACCCCTAACCCCTGCACTGTTCAACAATCAACTGTAATTTTTACGTTTGCATGATTTGTGTGCAGATGCACTATGGAAAGTTTAATTATAAATGCTGAGAAAGAACATCCTTATATATCTATATTTTTTCATATTTCTGCTTCCTATATATGATTTCTGGTCAGATAAGAGACTTCATAAATCCAACCAAAAGAATGCCTGGTAGTTTTAGGTTACAGTGACAAAATTCTCCACTAACCTTCTGCCTCCTTTACTTTTTTTATTAAAGCAGAAGCATCTTTATTGATCAAATGTTTGTAGAATTTTTTATCCTAAAGTAATTTCTGTCCATTAACTTTACTTACTATAATACATGCTACTGTACTTTTTTTTTACTCTTTAAAAATTGAGGTAAATTTGACATACAGTGAAAGGTACAGATCTTAGGTGTATAATTTGAAGAGTTTTAATGTTTATAGCCATGTATCTACCACTACCCGTCTCGGTTACAATATAGAACATTATTCCACTTTGAATCACTTGATGAGCATGCCTGAAGTTGAAATGCAGTCCCTCCTCTCAGGGCAGAGCTTCCAGTCTGTTTGCTCTGACCTAGAGGTTACCAGGGTTGTAGACACATTGACTCTGACTATAATGGTTATCTCGTAGTTACAAAACCCAGTCTCATAGTTTGTTTAGCTTAGAGTTACTGCCTCAGTTCCTACCAACAAGAGTGTATGTGTCAGAGTTTTCCTTTCTTTCTTTCTTTTAGATGCTGAGCTTTTTATACCGCCAAAGATCAACAAAAAAACCCAGTGGAAACTGAGTCTGCTAGAGTGACTACAAGTTAGGAGGGCTCCAGCAGAGATGACCGTTTTCCGCTCAGTCCTGGTTGTCCTTCCACCTCTTGCTCTTTGAGACCTGGCTATCGAGAACTAGGAAGAGTAAGATGATGATTTACCTTAGTATTGCTGAGAGCTGCTATGTTCCCCAGACTTCAGCAGATACCAAGCAATTCTGTGTTTATTTTTTGTATATGTCTTAATCATTAGCAAAATGTTAAGCTTTAATCAATATAGCATCATTTTTGTGAGAATTACTGTTCTTTTACTTGTGCTGTTTGAGAGCATATTTGTGCTAATTATGATAAGGTGTCCTTCCCAGCTACTGGTCTGATTCATATAGGGACCTTGGGCAAGTTCCAGAATTGATTTGTACTTCAGTTCTTCATCTGTTAATTGGGAATAATGTTTCATGGTTTCTACCTCAAAAGTGTGAAGACAAGTAAAATAATTTTCTAAATTGTACTGGAGGTGAGAGTATTATATATAAACAACAAGGACTATTAGAGCTACCAACATTCGGTCAGATGTAATCACTGTTTGCTTCTTTTTACCTTAAACTAAAGCAGAATAAAAAGTATCCTTTGAAATTCTAAGCTTTTCCATGCTGACAGCTATTATTCTGTAACATCTTACCAGGTCATGTACTTTCAGTTATACCTGGGCTGAGACTTCTATAGTTACACTATCCATTGGAACTGTTTTATCACCAGTGTATTTTCTGCCAGAGAGTTAGCAATGTTAGACCTGGAACAGATTAGAATTTTTAAGTAGTATCATGCATATTTGGTATAGGTGAGCAGTGTGCACTGTATAGCATGCATGGTTATAAATTATCTCTTCTCCAAATATTGCTTCCTTTAACTGAAATGTTTTTGTCAGTGTCTAAGCCATTTCATTTATTTTATTTATGGTGCTTAACCGACCCCTGTTTCATTTAGTTTCTCAAAAGAACTTTCAGTTATTTTGTTTGGAAGAAATGAGAATGTTTTCTCTTGTTGGTGAATCTAGGAAAAGCCCAGTCATTCTGATACCAGTTTTATGGCTAATCCTTGGGTAAGGTTAAAAACCTCTCCCATATTTTTCTGTCAGACCAGACCTTCATTACTGTACATGAACTAACATTTAATGCTGCTTTGAATCCTCAGAGAATAGATATACCCAGAATTGTAATTTAAGATGACTTTCCCTAATACAGCAAGATGTTAACTATAGAATCTAGGAGTATTCACTGTATAATTCACTTTCCTGTATGTTTGAAATTTTTCACAAAATAATAGGGTTAAAAAAAAGAGGAAGAAGATATATTCTGCTATGGGGAAATCTACTTTTTGATTCATACCCCTAATGGATTTGCTGTAATTAAGTGCTCAATGTTAAAAGGCTGAAAAGTACTTTGTGACTATTCTTTGGCATGGGTAAATGAGCATGGTAACCCATGTGGCATTTTAATAGATTATAGTGCTCTTGCTTTCGATAATAGTAAAGGGACCCATGCTGATAGATTGGAAATAGAAGTAAACATGTCTGTCAATTATGGTCTGAATTTTTATGGATGCTAACTTTCCTTCAGATAATGTATTGAAGCGGCAGGAAAGAATTTGTGTGGATCCAAATTACAGTCAGTTATTTCCACATTGACAGCAAAGCCAAGGAAGAATTCATGGGAAAAATGGAGTGTGTAGGAAAAGGAGAAACTCCTGTGAGTGGTGAGTGCTTAATTTTGGAGAAAGATTCTATTATATTCTATTAATAGAAAAGAGTACATACCCTTCCCCAAAGTTAGTACCCTGTCTCAAAGGCAAGTTCATGCTGAAATAAGCTAGAATCTTCCGTTGTTTTCTTGATTCCTTTGAATCAGAGAGCTTTGCTCAGATGCTGCAGACATCAAGGGAATTTGCAGAGGATTGTCTTCTTTGATCAAAGTGGTTTTAACTTTGCATTTTTCAAAAAATTGATCAGGAGCTGATATTTTTATTATCTTTTTGAGTGTATATTGGTATAATTTCTTAGCACAGCTGCATATTTTAAGATACATTTCTCTATATGTACACATATACATACATACACATACAAACAGACACACATATGCATATGCATTCTTGAGATTTGTCATAGTCATGACTATAGAGGGTGTTTTAAAAAAATAAAACTGACGATTCTTAGGAATTTAAGGTGACTGCAAGTTTGGGAAGCAGAATTATTTTGTAGTGCTGGTTATCTGTGTTTCTATAGAAGCACCACCTGCACAAGTTTTTGGAAGTCTTGATTGTCCTTCTTTGTCATATTTATTAGTAAGTGAGTATGAAAATCTTAGGCACTAGATAACTACAAATATTCAAGAGGCTTTAGATGAGCCAAGGCTAATATGGTGACATTTGGCAGTGCTGAAGGCCTACTGTTGATTCTTGTGCTCCTGTGTTCTCTGTTTTGCTGAGCGCTTGCCTGTGTCTTGTGTCTATAGTAGGCTGCCCCATCATTGCTCTTATTGACTCTAAAGTCCCAGGAACTTTAAGGACAGATGTCCTCCTGGTATAAAGGAAAGAGCAAGGCTTTGGGTCATGTGTTCACTCATCTTACTGTCCATAGACAAGATACCTTAATTTGAGCCTTGCTTTCCTTCCAGCCTTGAATGTCCATCAAGCTAAGTAGGGATTTTTAATGACACTGTTGGCATTTTGGGTCTTATCATTGTTTGTATGTGGAGCAAGGAGACTTGTCCTGTGTAGGTATAGGATATTTAACAACTTCCCTGGCCTTTACCCACTAGATGCCCGTAGTATACACTCCCACCCGTTATGACAACGAAAAATATCTTTAGATATTGTCAAATGTCCCCTGGGGGTCAAAATTGCCCCCAGCTGATGAACTAGAGAATTCTTTTTCTACTAGGGCAATTGTGAGGATCAAGAGAGAGAATTATAAAAGTGCTTTTACAAAGACTATGTAAATTGGTCTGCCTTATGTTGGTATTTTTAATTTTAAAATGAACATTTAGGCCTAGGAAGTTCTGAAGATTTATGTCCACCAGAACCACCTTCTACTCCTCCCCTTTATCAAGACCCTAGCCTTTTGGGGAATTCTTGACTTGGGATTCATAGACCCCCTAAGGGATCTGAAGATAGAAGTATATTTCTGTATGATTGGTTTTCTCTGTGATCCTATGTATTAGGTCATTAAACATGAAATGTCCGATATCAGGCTGGGCGCAGTGGCTCATGCCTGTAATCCTAGCACTCTGGGAGGCCAAGGTGTGTGGATTGCTCAAGGTCAAGAGTTCGAAACCAGCCTGAGCAAGAGTGAGACCTCATCTCTACTAAAAATAGAAAGAGATTAATTGGCCAACTAAAAATACATAGAAAAAATTAGCCAGGGATGTTAGCACATGCCTGTAGTCCCAGCTACTTGGGAGGCTGAGACAGGAGGATCGCTTGAGCCCAGGAGTTTGAGGTTGCTGTGAGCTAGGCTGATGCCACGGCACTCTAGCCCAGGCAACAGAGTGTAAGACTCTGTCTCAAAAAAAAAACAAGAAATGTCCGATTTCGAATCAAAAGTGTTTATTATATCTCAAATAAGAAGCAGTACAATTAATTAAAATATGCAACTAAACTATCGACACAGTTTTGCCATCTTAACAGTAGCTTCTTTATGCCAGCAGCGAAGAAGCCTGCAGAGCCAGTGGCTATGAAATCACTAAAGGTGTTTTCCACAGCTTGTTGAAAATTAAATATTTTTCCTTGCAAGAACTGGTCCAAAGCCTGGAAGAAGTGATAGTCGGTTGGTGCAAGGTCTGGTGAATATGGTGGATGACAGACTTTCCAAGTCCAGCCTCTATAGTTTGAGCAGTGTTGTTTGTGCAACATGTAGTCGAGCACTGTCTTGCAAGAGGATTGGCCTGTCTCTATTGACCAGTCTCGGCTGCTTAATTGCAAACATCTTCATCATTTTGTCCAGTTGGTTGCAGTAGATATCTGTTGTAATTGATTGATCAGGTTTCATGAAGGGGTAGTGGATAATACCAGCACTGGACCACCAAACAGACACCATTAGCTTTTTGGTTGAATATTTGGTTTTCAACAGTGTTTTAGCACTTCGTCTTGATCCAGGCATTGTGCTGAACACTTGTATTTGTCAAAAAGAATCCATTTCTTGTCACACGTAACAATACGGTGTAGAAATGGTTTACCTTTATGTCGTGACATCAAAGAAAGGCAAGCTTCAAGACAATTCCTCTTCTGATGCTCATTTAATTAATGTGGAACCCATCTATCCAGTTTCTTTACCTAGCCCATTTGTTTCAAATGGTTCAATATTGTTTTAATAGTAACATCAAACCTTGCTGCTAACTCATGTGTAGGTTGAGATGTATTTGCTTCCAATACAGCTTTCAGCTCATCATCATCCACGTTGGTGTCAGGTCGCCCACATGGCTCATTTTCAGGGTTAAAATCACCAGAATGGAACTTCTCAAACCATAGATGTACTGTACATTCATTAGCCCCATCCTTCTCAAACACTGTTGATATTTTGAGCTGTCTGTATTGCATTGGTTCCATGATGGAACTCATATTCAAAAATAACACAAAGTTTTGACTTATCCATGGTTACACAAAAATTGCTCTAAAAAAGTTTTTGAAAGATAATCACAAGCCAAAACATGGATTTGAAAGACTGAGGATGTACCTTCACAATAAACATAAAACAAGAAGTGTCTAAGTGAAATGTCAGAGATAACTACTGTCAAAGTTAGTACTTAAGGAAATCGGACATTCCATACTTAATAACCTAATATTTTATTTTATGCCCTTAAAAACATTATTCTTAGAAGGTCTTCATAGGCTTTATCACCCTGCTAGAGAGGTCCAAAGGTTAAGTACTAACCAAAATTTTACCTTGCCTGTCAGTGAATGATTATGGAGTGTTGAGTGTAGAGTGGTTTGGAAAATGGTATAAATAAGATGTACCTCTGTCAGGTCATTGTACCCAGACTCCTGGCTGATTCCTAGACACTCAAGTGTGAGGTTTATTCATCCTTGCTGAATCATAAGAAGCTCAGATGCTCTTCTGTGGCTGGTTGTCTACTGGTGCCAGCCAGATATGCTTACTCACCAGACCTGGATCCAGGGTCAGGCACTTAAGACCTTTTAAGGCTGTCTAGGCAAACCTGGAGGCTGCGGGAGTGGTTCTGTAGGACTTCTCCCTAGAGATGGCAGAGATGCCAGCTCTCCACTAACTGCCTTCGAGTGTCTGTGTGGCTAAGGACCATAGTAAGAGACTTTTGGCTTTTCATGTAAGAGGTAGAAGTCTACAAGATACTAACTAGCTATTGTGAACACCTTCCAGAGGCCATATACTGATATTTAGGTGGTTTTTTACTTCTGCTGTGTGAGGTAGGCATTTGTATTCAATTTTATAGATAAGCAAAGACTCAGGTCACATAGATGATAGCAAAATAGGGTTTCAAACCTTAGATCCCAAAGGCTATGTTCTTTCCCCCTATTTCATGTTGCCTCCTGGTGGTGGTAGGATTTCTGAGCTTTAAAGTCAGGGCAGAGGATGTATTAGGGGCTGTTGTAAAGAATCACCAATTTAGAGTGCTTCAATTACAAACTCCCTCTGTAGGAATACCATAGAACTTGCTGGGCTCTGGAAGGGCTTCCCTGGTTACTGAGGGTCTATATGTTCCTTTGGGCTACTTGGTTGGATTAAAATGATTAGCAAAGGGCAGCCTTCCACAGACCCACACCATCATCTCCATAACCAGCAGGCTGCATCTTGAGCCCACCCCAAACTCCAGCTATATGCTCTATAGGCTAATGGAGAATCCAGTCTGATGGGAGATGGGCAGCTACTTCTTGCAGTGTCTAAAGAATGACCGTGGCTTCCATCCTTGACCTCAATGCTTATAGCCCAAGATAAATCTTCAGTTTTTTAAAAGGGCAGCTCTATATAGCATTCATTCTCTAAAGAGTTGCCCCTTACCTTGGTCATAATATGCTAGGCTCTGGCAGCAGTTACCATGATGGCTTAATAAGAACTGGTGTTGAGACATAAGTGACTGTTTGGAACTAAAAGAAAATTAGATAAAGCAGGGGTCAGACATTTTTACCAGCTCTTTCCAAGCCTTCAGAATTGTTGATGAAGTGTGCAGTGTATAGTGCTGCTTTGTGTGAGATTGAACCATTACAGTTACTTCCTATTGGTGTTTATGGAAAGCGAGCTTCTTATATACCCCAACAGCATTTACCTATAATCTATTGTCGTTGCACTTCCCCTTACAAGCAGATTTTAACAATAAAGTAGTTCCTAAGATGGGGAATATGCAAAATAAGGGACAGAATAATATTAAAGCTAGTTTCTGTCAGGAAAATGTGTTCAGGCAGTCAACATATAATGCATGTCTTTTGTACATCCTCCCCCCACAGTTGCTTTTTTTTGGGGGGAATTATATTTTAAGGCAGATGGTACATCTTTAAAGTTCTTACTAAGTCAGGAAATAGCGAAACACACCGTGGAGGGGAACATGAGGGGTGTTTAATGCTACAGTAATGAATGTGCTGGCACTCAGCTCCCTGTGTGTAGGAGAGCACTCACCCAGCAAAGCTGAAGTACTGCCGTGCAGTGGCTGTGCCTCGTGGGCATTCAGAAGCATCTTCTGTAGAGGAAGAAAGGCCCATGTTCCTCATACTCAGAGCGGTGGACCCACAGTGGTTGGAAGCCCTGAAGTGATGCAAGGATGGAGCCACCAGTCCACACCGAAGTGTCTCTCTCAGGCAACACATTTACCTGTGGGGTGTCATTGGGACACATGCTACTCAGCTCCTTCTGCAGACGGTTAGGGAAACCGGGGAGCATAGTGCTGCCCCCACAGAGCAGGATGTTTCCCATGAGGTCCCGTTTGAGGGCAATGTCACACTTGTTAAGGCAGGACACTGTCTGGGTGTGGAGACCCAGTTGCATGGACTTGATGAGAGATGGCTTGAAGAACATCTCTGAGCAGAGGAACCTTTCCTGGCCTAGTTGTATCTCATTTCCATCAGGCAGAATGTACTGCATCATATGTTCATTGGGAGGGACTTTCTTCTCTTCGATGGGATCCAGAGCCACAAAGCAGCATTTCCTCTTGATGTCCTCCACGATGCCTATCTGGTCCTCAGTGAAGTGCTTCCCTGAACTGTTCATCAGGCCCATCAGGTAGACTGTCAAGTCAGAGCCTGCGTAGTCCAGCCTTCCGGTGATGCTGGGCAAAGGGTATCCCTCATAAATGGGGACCACATAGGACACGCCGTGGCCAACCTCCACCACCAGGCCAGAGGTCCTTCCATAAGAGTACATGGACAGGCGGGACTGGTAGGCGATGTGCATTGCGGGGGTGTTGAAGGTTTCAAACAGCATTTCAGCATACTTCTCTCTGTTGGTGTGTGGGCTCAGGGGTGGGTCTGAAACCAAGACCGCATGCTCCTCTGGGGCTATCTTCATTTCTTGTCGGAAGAGATATTCCCAGATATCCTGCACTGTATCCCAGTCCACGATAATGCCATGTCTCAGAGGATTAACTAGCTTGAGGTGAAGCTCTGAATCGGCAATCTCCTGCCCCACATATGTCTCCTTGCGATTATCCCCAGTTTTGGCAGTCTCCATGTAGGGCTTGCCCACTGTTGTTGAGATCTTGTGAGAAGGCCTTGGCAGGCCGGCAAAGCCACATTTACAGTAGCCAGTGCCAAGGTCTACGACCACTGCTTTGGCCACCTCTAGCTTGGGTCTCCCCATGGCCACTGCTGATTTGGTAGGATCTTCTGGCTCCATAGTTTTACGCCGGACCCACACTGCCCGCTTTGCTGGGCCATCCCTTACGGAGGCAGTTTGGAGGGCCTGTGTCTGGGTGGGGGCCTGATCATCCACTCTCTTGGCAGGCCCATCCCCTATGGTTGGTGCTCGTGGACCCCACACATTGTCCAGAGCCATACTGCTCTTGAAAAGTTCCTCAATCCCACTGGCTTCAAGGCCTGAAAGGCCTAAATCAGAGGACAACTTGAGAATTTTCCCAATAGTGACATCACTGATTATGATGTAATATGGTAACCTGGGCTTTCTAGTTACTGGGAGCCTCTGTCCCATATTTGAGTACATTTGGGGTATTTTTGAAATACCTCCTGCTTTTCTAAATGTTGGAAGTTACAGGGTTTTAATTTTTTTTTTAATTTTTAACACCAAAGGAGTCCAAATTGCACCTTTTTTCTAAATTTTGTCTTAAACCCGATTTATTCAATTAATATTTATTGATTGTCTGCTATGTGCAAGGCAGCTAGGAATTCAGTGGAAAAAAAAGGCAAAAATCTCTTAGTCTACTTGGTGGGGGTTAGGGGGTGACAGACAATAATCAAAATATATGTATGTTAGAAAGCTCCTCCTGCATTCCATATGTGCATGTGTGGCATCAGCATCCATCCACCTAGTTGCTCAAGACAGAAACCTGGAGGTGTTGGAGAGGGCTCAAGTTTATGAGAGGACATAGCACTGTAGTAATCAGAGTCAACTAACATTTTGAGTAGTCTGCCCAAAGTCATATAGATTATAAATGATAAAGCTGGATTTGAACCCAGGTCTTCTGAGACCAGTTTCTTAATCTTCCTCCTTTTCTCTACTGGCTTTCCATAAGGAATGGCAGAAAAGCAGGCTCAGGCAGTTCTGAGCACTGCCTTTAAATAGCCTAATGGCAGTCATGGAAGAATTCTCTTGCCCTACACCACCCTGAAAGTAGACCAATTCATGGCTTCAGAGAGGTACAGATATCCTGTATGAGGAAAAGTTTGTCACTCACAGCTGGCCATGCCAAACTTCTAGGTGGCATGTTCTAGAGCAGCAGTCCTTAGCCTTTTTGACACCAGAGACCAGTTTCGTGGAAGACTGTTTTTCCATGGATGGGGGAGGTGGTGGTCGCCACCTTGGCTCCACCTCAGATCATCAGGCAGAGCATACAACCTGGATCTCTAGCATGTGCAGTTTGCAGTGGAGTTCACGCTCCTATGAGGGTCTGATGCCCCTGCTGATCTGAAGGGGGCAGGCGATGATGGAGGTCCCTGTGGGGACCCAGTGAATTGTCCTTTCTGGATGGCAGGTCATATTTCTTACTTGAGCACAGGCGAGGGATTCCTCCTTCCCTCTTCCTCATGCCTCACATCTCATCATCTAATATGAATGCAGTGTTTGAGGCTAAAGAAGTCATAGAAGCCAATGAGATAAGGCTTCAAATGCCAGGGTAAGAGTTTGGATTTAAGTTGGTTGGGGAACCAACAGATTAGATTCGATTCCACTTTCTAAACTCCTTTAGAACCTGTCCCTTCCACACTATGACAACTACGTCAGGCCACCTTCAGGTCTTACAAGAATTTCTTCCATGGCCTCCTTTCAGGTCTCAGACTAGAAGCTGAGACCTTCTAGTCTTGCCCCTTCCATATGTTCTCTACATTACATCCAAATCCAAATCTCTCCAAAATTTTTCTGAAGGGCAAATCTGACCACTCCCCTGCTAAAAGCCTTCATTCCCCAGCTGTTCTCGGTTTGTTCTAAGCCTACTCCAGGCATTTGTGGCCCTCCCTAGTTGGCTTTCTGACCTCTCTAGTTTGGTCTGTTTTTCCAAATACTGTAACTACTGGAAGTTCCTTTTTTTTTTTTTTTTTTTTTTAGACAGAGTCTCACTTTGTTGTCCAGGCTAGAGTGAGTGCCGTGGCGTCAGCCTAGCTCACAGCAACCTCAAACTCCTGGGCTCGAGTGATCCTCCTGCCTCAGCCTCCCGAGTAGCTGGGACTACAGGCATGCGCCACCATGCCCAGCTAATTTTTTTTTTTATATATATATCAGTTGGCCAATTAATTTCTTTCTATTTATAGTAGAGACGGGGTCTCGCTCTTGCTCAGGCTGGTTTTGAACTCCTGACCTTGAGCAATCCGCCCGCCTCGGCCTCCCAAGAGCTAGGATTACAGGCGTGAGCCACAGCGCCCGGCCTGGAAGTTCTTTACTGTGCATGCTTCTGAGCCTTTGCTTAAGCCACACTCTCTGATTGGGATGCCTTTCCCTTCTCTTAGCTACTTGATAAATATCCACACCTCTTGCAGTATTTGACTTAAGCATCACCTCCTCTCTAGAGAACCTGCTGACTTCCTCCCTCAAATAAGCACTCCCTCTATCATGCACCTCTCTTCTCCAAGCACACTTCTGCCTGTAAACTCATCTGCACCAATTCTGTCTCCCCACTGAGACTGGGCATTGCTTGTGGCCAGGGTTTCCTCTGTCACTGGCTGGCTGCACAGGGCTGAACCTGCTACACCCCCCAGTAAATGTTGAATGAAGGGAGGAAAGTATTGTTGGGGTTCTCAAGCTCTTTAAGGAGGCGTGGTGCATTGGGGTTGGATGAACTTTAGTTAAAGTACAAACACTCCAAGAACTGTTTGCTCTTGGGCAAGTCCTTTGAATTCTGAGCCTCTTATTTCCTCAGCTCTGCGTACCTCCCAGAATTCTGCAAAATAACATAAGTGGAGTCCCTGGTACGGTGCCTTGCTTACTGTAGGGGCTCAAATATTTGGCACTTTCTCCACCAAGAAGCAGAAGAGGAAAAGGCATTCAGTCAGTAAGGCACGGAGATGTAAGCAGGGGCAGCAGAAACCTCCAGGACCCCAGTGTGTTTGAGTTTCTAAAACTGCTGGCCACCTGCTCTGTCCTGGATCAAACTCGACTTAGGGGGACAGGGGTTGGAGTGATATTCCAAGGGCTCATGGAAGTCCAGCCCTCCCCCGGCTGCCTGAATGGACCAGCCCCCAGTGACATCACAATCCTGGTGGTTGCCAAGGCACTGCTGGAGGTGGGCTCTCATTTCTCCCTGCGGAGCTCTAGGATGTGGATGTGAGAAGGTGAGCAAGAAAAGTAGATGGCGACAAGGAATAGTCCCAGCCTCATGCCCCTGGGCACAGCTCAAGGTGACCCTGGAGAGGCAGGAACACTACCAGGCCCTGATGCTGGCATCCGGGACACAGGTTCAGCCACTCAGCAGAAGATGAAGCCCAAGAAGGTGCGCAAGGTCAAGGCACTCATCATCGACCTGGGCTCCCAGTACTGCAAGTGCGGCTACGCAGGGGAGCCCAGGCCCACGTACTTCATCTCCTCCACTGTGGGCAGGCGCTGCCCTGAGGCAGCGGACTCGGGTGACACCAGCAAGCAGACCTATGTGGGCCATGAGCTGCTCAGCATGGAGACGCCCCTCAAGCTGGTTAACCCACTGAAGCATGGCATCGTAGTGGACTGGGACTGCGTCCAGAACATCTGGGAGTACATCTTCCACACGGCCATGAAGATTCTCCCCGAGGAGCACGCTGTGCTGGTCTCCGACCCTCCGCTCAGCCCCAGCAGCAACCGGGAGAAGTATGCCGAGCTCATGTTCGAGACCTTTGGCATCCCTGCCATGCATGTGACATCCCAGTCACTGCTGTCCATCTACTCTTACGGCAAGACCTCGGGGCTGGTGGTGGAGAGCGGGCATGGCGTCTCGCACGTGGTGCCCATCTCGGAGGGCGACGTGTTGCCCGGCCTGACGAGCCGCGCTGACTACGCCGGGGGTGACCTCACCAACTACCTGATGCAGCTGCTCAATGAGGCTGGCCATAAGTTCACGGACGACCACCTGCACATCATAGAGCACATCAAGAAGAAGTGCGGCTACGCGGCCCTCCTGCCTGAGGAGGAGCTACGCCTATCCCTGGAGGAGCTGCGTGTGGACTACGAGCTCCCTGACGGCAAGCACATCACCATCGGCCAGGAGCGCTTCCGCTGCTCTGAGATGCTCTTCAAGCCCTCCCTGGTGGGCAGCAGCCAGCCGGGCCTGCCGGCGCTCACAGCAGCCTGCCTGGGCCGTTGCGAGGAGGCGGGTTTCAAGGAGGAGATGGCCGCCAATGTGCTGCTGTGCGGCGGCTGCACCATGCTGGATGGCTTTCCGGAGCGCTTCCAGAGGGAGCTGAGCCTGCTCTGCCCTGGGGACAGCCCCGTGGTGGCCGCCGCTCCTGAGAGGAAGACCTCCGTGTGGACTGGTGGCTCCATTCTGGCCTCCCTGCAGGCCTTCCAGCAGCTGTGGGTCAGCAAGGAGGAATTTGAGGAGCGGGGCAGTGCTGCAATCTATAGCAAGTGCTGAGCGGTGGCCACGGGCCACTCTATACATTTACAGAGTTTCACATAAAACTTTAATGCATAGTGGCTCTTGTCTGGATTTCTTTCTCTAATCTGATGGCAGAAAGTGGTGGGGAGTTGGACTTAGAAGTATTGGAACCTTTTTGCTCTGCTGGGGGAGGTGGATAAAGGGTGGGGGGATCCCCACTGATCCCACGCCCTCTGCCCGCCTCATGAAGGTGACATCATCTCAGAGCTCAGAGTGTGGCTTCCTGTTCCATTAGCTCCTCTGGGTTCAAAACCTGATTCAACAGACACTCCATGTTGCTTGTTCACCCATCAACAGAGCGAGGCATGACTCAGATGAAGTGACCAGCTTGGGTCACAGAGTTAAGCAGTGGTCTCGGGGAGATTGACAGCTGGGTATCTGACATCAGTCTCCTTCTCCTGACAGTTGCCTGCTCTGTCATTGTGGTCCCCCCAGGTCCCTCATTAACCCCTTTATTGCCTGCCACCCTCAAAGTGGCAGCCCACAGGTGTGACCATGCATCTTCTAGTGTGAAGGGCCATTTATACCCATCAATGGCCCTCCCCCTTTCAGCCCCAGCCAAAATTGCAGTCACAAAACAGAGCCAGCGAACGCAGAGGATGTCGGAGGAACCAGAAGGTCCTTTAGAAATTATGTGGTCCTCTCCCTGCTGTGGAGGTGGGGAAGCTGAGGGCTAGTCCAGTGTGAATGGTTGAGCCCAGGTCTCCGGCCCCAAGTCATGATTATTTCCAGAAGGATCAACATGGTTCTTAATGGTTAGTCAGTAACCCAAAGTACATAGCAAGCATTTACTATGGGCCATGCCCAGTGTGGGGGACTGAGAAATGACCAGAACAAGATCCCTTTCTTTGGGATTACACACAGCTGGTGGACAGCCACATTGGTAGGGAGATGAGATCTGAGCAAATTGTTCATGTGTGTGGGAAGATGA